CCTGGCACTGTTCAATAGGGTTTCTTGCAGACGCGGCAGCGACTGATGACATTCTCTAGAAGACGTCCCTTCACAGTCTGGGGCACAGGCTTACTGCAGGGGAGGGGCACAAAGAAGAGGAGTTTAGTGTGGTGTATAGGTAAGGCCAGACAGAATGACCTAAACCACCCTAGAAATGATTAGATTAATACTGAACACTGTCACAAAACATAAATAACTACAGTTATCTTGATAAAAGATAATGCATTACATTTTACATTTACATTACATTTACATTACATAATGCTATACAGGTATTGAAAAGAAAACATCCCCGTATGTGGCCATAAATATTGATAAGTAAAATCAAATCAAGCTTTATTATACAGTACATTTCAGACATGGAATGCAACACAGTCTGCTTCATGGGAAAAAACGAATAAAAACGGATAAAAAAAATGAACGACTAAAAAGCACCCTACCGAAAAGCAAAGCTAACAAAAAGAGCACTCAAAATAAAGCTTGATTTGAACAGTTTAGTATTGTATACAGTGATGTAGGGGTAAAAAAAAATAGGTGGGTAAACGCTAATCACCGTTTGCGGTGAATAAAGTAACGCTCCATATATGTTCTATGCATTTTTCCACAATAGGTGGGTAAACGCTCATGCAAAATCTAAAAAAATATGCATAAACTGCGTTTACCCTCCACTACACCACTACACTTGATTGCTGACTGTCGCGAGGAAGAACAGCGCCGGAAGAAGATGGCTGCCGTTTTACAGCCCTCTAACCAATTGTACTATTATGTGTGTTTTTCCGCGTTATTTGTAATTTATTTTGTACATAATGTTTCTGCCATCGTCTCTTATAACCAAAGAGAGCTTCTGGATATCAGGACAGCGATTACTCACCTCGCATTGGACGAATATTTTTTCTTCAACGAGGCGTTCGCGAAGGATATCATACAGACACCCGACAAGGCCCAGATCCCCGTCATTCGCGTGAGGAAGAGACGGAGATATCGCGGACGCAGATCCGGGTGCCTCGTAAGGATCCGACGGCGAGCGAGTAAACTGCCTCTCCCATCAATCCTATTAGCCAACGTTCAATCTTTTGAGAATAAAATTGACGATTTAAGATTACGGTTATCCTACCAACGGGACATTAAAAACTGTAATATCTTATGTTTCACGGAGTCGTGGCTGAACGACAACAATGATAACATTCAGCTAGCGGGCTATACGCTACATCGACAGGACAGAACTGCAGACTCTGGTAAGACAAGGGGTGGCGGTCTCTGTATATTTGTAAACAACAGCTGGTGCACAAAATCAAATACCAAGGAAGTCTCGAGGTTTTGCTCGCCTGAGGTAGAGTATCTTATGATAAGCTGTAGACCACACTATTTACCAAGAGAGTTTTCATCTATATTTTTCATAGCTGTCTATTTACCACCACAAACCAATGCTGGCATTAAGATTGCACTGAATGAGTTGTACAAGGCCATTAATCAACAGGAAAACGCTCATCCAGATGCAGCGCTCCTAGTAGCCGGGGACTTTAATGCAGGGAAACTTAAATCCGTTCTACCTAATTTCTACCAGCATGTTAAATGTGCAACCAGAGGGAAAAAAACTCTAGACCACCTTTACTCCACACACAGAGACGCATACAAAGCTCTCCCTCGCCCTCCATTTGGCAAATCTGACCATAACTCTATCCTCCTGATTCCTGCTTATAAGCAAAAACTGAAGCAGGAAGCACCAGTGATTCGGTTAATAAAAAAGTGGTCAGATGACGCAGATGCTAAGCTACAGGACTGTTTTGCTAGCACAGACTGGAACATGTTCCGGGATTCTTCAGACAGCATTGAGGAGTACACCACATCAGTCACTGGTTCATCAATAAGTGCATCGATGATGTCGTCCCCACAGTGACCGTACGTACATACCCCAACCAGAAGCCATGGATTACAGGAAACATCCGCACTGAGCTAAAGGGTAGAGCTGCCGCTTTCAAGGAACGGGACTCTAACCCGGACGCTTATAAGAAATCCCGCTATGACCTCCGACGAACCATCAAACAGGCAAAGAGTCAATACAGGTCTAAGATTGAATCATACTACACTGGCTCTGACGCTCGTCGGATGTGGCAGGGCTTGAAAACTATTACAGACTACAAAGGGAAGCACAGCCGCGAGCTGCCCAGTGACACAAGCCTACCAGACGAGCTAAACCACTTCTATGCTCGCTTCGAGGCAAGCAACACTGAAGCATGCATGAGAGCACCAGCTGTTCCGGACGACTATGTGATCACGCTCTCCGTAGCCGATGTGAGTAAGACTTTTAAGCAGGTCAACATTCACAAGGCCGCAGGGCCAGACGGATTACCAGGACGTGTACTCCGAGCATGTGCTGACCAACTGGCAAGTGTCTTCACTGACATTTTCAACATGTCCCTGACTGAGTCTGTAATACCAACATGTTTCAAGCAGACCACCATAGTCCCCGTGCCCAAGAACTCTAAGATAACCTGCCTAAATAACTACCGACCCGTAGCACTGACGTCTGTAGCCATGAAGTGCTTTGAAAGACTGGTCATGGCTCACATCAACAGCATAATCCCAGAAACCCTAGACCCACTCCAATTTGCATACCGCCCCAACAGATCCACAGATGATGCAATCTCTATCGCACTCCACACTGCCCTTTCCCACCTGGACAAGAGGAACACCTACGTGAGAATGCTATTCATTGACTACAGCTCAGCATTCAACACCATAGTGCCCTCTAAGCTCATCACTAAGCTAAGGATCCTGGGACTAAACACCTCCCTCTGCAACGGGATCCTGGACTTCCTGACGGGCCGCCCCCAGGTGGTAAGGGTAGGTAACAACACATCTGCCACACTGATCCTCAACACGGGGGCCCCTCAGGGGTGCGTGCTCAGTCCCCTCCTGTACTCTCTGTTCACCCATGACTGCATGGCCAGGCACGACTCCAACACCATCATTAAGTTTGCCGACGACACAACAGTGGTAGGCCTGATCACCGACAACGATGAGACAGCCTATAGGGAGGAGGTCAGAGATCTGGCCGTGTGGTGCCAGGACAACAACCTCTCCCTCAACGTGACCAAGACAAAGGAGATGATTGTGGACTACAGGAAAAAAAAGAGGACTGAGCACGCCCCCATTCTCATCGACGGGGCTGTAGTGGAACAGGTTGAGAGCTTCAAGTTCCTTGGTGTCCACATCACCAACGAACTATCATGGTCCAAACACACCAAGACAGTCGTGAAGAGGGCACGACAAAGCCTATTCCCCCCTCAGGAGACTAAAAAGATTTGGCATGGGTCCTCAGATCCTCAAAAAATTCTACAGCTGCACCATCGAGAGCATCCTGACTGGTTGCATCAACGCCTGGTATGGCAACTGCTTGGCATCTGACCGCAAGGCACTACAGAGGGTAGTGCGTACGGCCCAGTACATCACTGGGGCAAAGCTCCCTGCCATCCAGGACCTCTATACCAGGCGGTGTCAGAGGAAGGCCCACAAAATTGTCAAAGACTCCAGCCACCCTAGTCATAGACTGTTCTCTCTGCTACCGCACGGCAAGCGGTACCGGAGTGCCAAGTCTAGGTCCAAAAGACTTCTCAACAGCTTCTACCCCCAAGCCATAAGACTCCTGAACAGCTAATCATGGCTACCCGGACTATTTGCACTGCCCCCCCACCCCATCCTTTTTACGCTGCTGCTACTCTGTTAAGTATTTATGCATAGTCACTTTAACTCTACCCACATGTACATATTACCTCAACTACCTCAACTAGCCGGTGCCCCCGCACATTGACTCTGCAACGGTACCCCCCTGTATATATAGCCTCCCTACTGTCACTTTATTTTACTGTATATATAGCCTCCCTACTGTCACTTTATTTTACTTCTGCTCTTTTTTTCTCAACACTTTTTTGTTGTTGTTGTTTTATTCTTACTTTTTTTGTTTAAAATAAAGGCACTGTTGGTTAAGGGCTGTAAGTAAGCATTTCACTGCAATGTCTGCACCTGTTGTATTCGGCGCATGTGACCAATAAAATTTGATTTGATTTGATCGTATAGTATAAACACTGAATCGATCTCTGATGTGATGATTCTAACCTAAACATGCGATTGGGGTCGAGCGAGGCCAGCCAGTAGCTGTAGGAGTCAGGGAAGTAGTTGCAGGTTCCCCGGCCGTGGCACTCGATGAAGGGGACCTGGCGGAAGTGTTCCAGACATGAGCCTGGAGAGACAAGGGGCTGCCCCGACCCCTCAGCACCCGCACCCGTTTGCTGGGAAGAAGAGAGAGGGGGGCGCAATGGGGTATGGAAAGGAGGAGAGGAGTATAGAATGGGGCAGAAGAAGTGACGGGGAGAGAAGTATAGAGAAGGTAAAGGAGAGTAAGTTAGACTGAGTTTTGAATGATGTCACAATGGAGTATGCTACATTATGCTCCTACTATGATGTTTCATTTGCATCATTATCATTCATATCATTATCATCATCATCATCATCATTCAACCCCAAATCCAGATGTGCAAAGCTGATAGAGACATGCCCAAGACGACTCAAAGCTGTAATCGCCGCCAAAGGTGCTTCTACAAAGTATTGACTCAGGGGTGTGAATACTTATGTAAATGTATATTTCTGTATTTCATTTTCTAATAAATGTGCAAACATTTCTAAAAACATGATTTTACTTCGTCATTATGGGGTATTGTGTGTAGATGGGTGAGAGAACAAATCTATTTAATCTGTTTTCAATTCAGGCTGTCACACAACAAAATGTTGAATAAGTCAAGTGGTATGAATACTTTCTGAAGGCACTGTAAGTACAGACATTAAACAGTATATCGATATAATACAGGGAACAGGGTGTTACCATGACAAAGGAGTATCCAGTCCAGAGGGATTCCCAGTCACGAGGACAGTCTGGGGTCTTGGTGGTCTGGCTGTGGATGGCGATGGCATTGGAGCTGCCCTCACACACTGAACACCTAAATCACACACCACCAACAAGTGTAGCATATAGTGTCATTTCAGTGCAACATGTCAAAATGTGTTCCAAAATAAAGAGTGCAGACTGTAGAGGCCCTGTATTTTTTAGACTGCAAGTATGTGTGTGTGTGTGTGTTTGTCCCTCCTCCCAGGACTGTGTACCTGCTGATGTAGCTCCCTATCTCGTCTCCTCTGATCAGGTCCATGCTGCGCGGCATGGACTTCTCCGTCGACAGCCAATAGGAGTAGTCATTGCGGGCGGCGTAGCGACAGGTGTTGTCCGTGTCACAGAACAGGAAGGGCATGGTGGAGAAACGAGGTAGGCAGCTGCCCATGGAGCCTGGGGGGACAGTGGTGAGGTCATCAAAGAGAGACAATGTCAAATTAACAGCAAAAGTAAGAGTGCCGAGCTAACATCACAATTTTAGGAACCTCATTTGCTCAATCCCAAATCGACCTGTACCCTCTAGGTAGATCTGAGATGATTGGATACATTAGGTATTAACCAAAATGTTATTAGCTCCACATTGCCTTTTGATATGCTTTGTAATAATTTCACCATATTGCACCTATTCATGGGTTGCATGTTCAAAAGGAGGCAATTCATTAGCAGGAAAACCTTTTGTCATCCTTTTGATATCATCAGACTGACTTTAAATGTAGTATAACCTCAGATAGTTAGCTAAGATTGAGGGGAGGACACCGGATTATAGCTAGCTAATGTCAGCATTGCTAGCCATTTTTGACAAACTTTGCTAGCTAATGACAACATTGCCATCTGTCTAAAGTAAATTTGATGACATGATAATGCTGTTTCCTACTAAATATTTGACTACTTTAGCAAAGTCATTGTATTTCCAGGCACTACAGTGTAATTTAGACTAAACAGTTGTTAGCCTCCATCCAGAATGACTGGGCTTATCACGAGTTTAGAGCACCACTATTGTGCCGGTAGAGCACAGCTTGAGAACGTTCAGAACAATGGCATGACGCGCCCAAATGACAGAGGTGCAACCTATGAATACAACCGCTCTGCGTTTGGTGACTTTGTGTTGAGCAGTGTGTGTGTGCCTCATTACTATTAATGTGTGACTCCATGCTGTTTACCTAGGTCTTGTCCGTGGGCTCTCTCATTGCCATTAATGAAGAGCAGAGAGTATCCGGAGTAGATGAGGGTGGTGCCTCTGGGGCAGTCAGGCACTCTGATCGTCTGGCTGTGTCGGGCCAGCAGGAAACTGTCAGCCAGACCTGCCGTGGTGGAGCCCCACGGGCCACGAGAACCCTTCTGACCCGGAGGCCCCTGGTAGCCTACCGGCCCTGCCCAAGCAAAAACACTTAGATAAAATACATGTTTTCCAACGGTTCGCCTCATGTTCAACAAGATCACTGGCAAACACATTTATATAAATACCTGTCTGTCCCTGTGATCCCTTGTCTCCCTTGCGCCCGGGGAAGCCAGGCAGGCCTGGAGGGCTGTTTCCGTACTGACCCTTAGGGCCTGTGGGGCCTGGCAGTGAGAGGGGCAACTTGATTTTGGTAAGCAATTTAGTTAGCCAAAGCTAAAGTAGGAGCTAATGAGACCATTTGTGCTAATGTTAGCCTGTGGTGCCCGTAGCTAAGACATGGCATAGGTTGCATTCACTCCTTCCCCATAGACTACTTCATTAGTTAGAAAGAATATGACATTTGGTTGAAGTGAATCATGGTTGGCCTGGCCATGTGGCTTGTAGTTGCAGATGATAAAAGGATACTGAACCTGCAAATCCTGGCCGTCCTGGCGGCCCACTTGGACCTGGAAATCCTTGGTTCCCGGGGTGACCAGGTGGGCCTGGATCCCCTTGATGGTGTCTCACTTGTCCAGACACGTCAAGCCCTGGACGACCTGTAGATGTGCATGAAAAAACCTTTGATTTGTTTTGACTAACTCCTTAAGAATAAATTGTGCTAAAGATACTGTTTAGAGTTAGGATGCTTTGGTAAATTGAATATTGACCCAATGGTTTTCAGTGTTGAATGTTGAGTTTTGAATTTTCAGTGTTAAATGTTGAGTTGTCAGTGTTTAATGTTGAGTTGTCAGTGTTTAATGTTGAGTTGTCAGAGTTTAATGTTGAGTGTTAAATATTGACCTGGTGGTCCTGGCTGGCCTTTGGCTCCATTTGGTCCTTTGGGGCCGGGGTTATAACTAGGATCACCCGTCTCTCCTAAAACACCACAGTTCATCAAGAGACACTGAATCACCAACTGCACCACACACACACACGGTTGGGTAGGTTACTTTCTAAATGTAATACTTTGCAGTTACTAGTACCTGTCCAAAATTGTCATCAGTAACGTAACTTTTGGATTACCCAAACTCAGTAATGTAATCTAATTACTTTTGGACTACTTTCCCCTTAAGAGGCATTAGAGCAGGGCTGCCCAACCCTCTTCCTGGAGATCTACCGTCCTGTGGGTTTTCAGTCCAACCCTAATTTAACACACCTGATTCTACTTATTAGCTGCTCAACAAGACCTTAACTAGCTGAATCAGATACGCTAAATTAGGGTTGGACTGAAAACCTACAGGACAGTAGATCTCCAGGAAGAGGGTTGAGCAGACCCTGCATTAGAAGAATGCAAAAATGATCCATCAAACGCATTTGGTGTCATCATAGTGGTCTCAGACTTGTGGTCAGACTCGCTCAAGTGAAACAAACCAAACACATTTTGTACACACACACACACACACACACACACACACACACACACACACACACACACACACACACACACACACACACCATCTAGCATGTCAAAGAAAATCTAGGGATGACGTTTTGATGGCTACAACACACGGCACACATTAATAGGCACAGGAGTTTTTTCCAGAGCATGTGAACTTACCAGGGAAAAGTCTTTGCCCTAGAACTAGAACCAGAACCCAGAGTTCTTCATGGTCAGGATAAACTCTTGGCTGCACTCAATACTATGGTGTAATGACAATTTAGTTTTTGTAAATAAAAAATGACAATGCAGAGGATTGTTGTTGATGCAATAAGATTACCGGGGAATCCTGGGGGTCCAGGGTGACCTGGTTCACCTATTGGTCCTGGAGGTCCAGGGATGGCTCCTGGTCCCTAGGGGGTAGAAAGCAATTCAAGCAATAACTCAGACTTTAAATTATACACAGAATTACTTATAACATCTATTTTTTCCAGCGTTTTAAGAGATGTTCCAAAACATAAGCAACATTTAGTTGGTCTTGTACTCTTCAGTGGAGTGACTCACCCATGGCCCTGGAATCCCTGGGTCCCCTCTGGGCCCGTCGAAGCCTCTGCCCCCTGGAGCGCCTGGGTCTCCCCTGTCCCCTTTATGTTCATAGCCTCCAGACCCTGACTGGCCCCGTGGGCCCCGGTGCCCTGCAGACAGAAAGACCCATTTCAGTCAGAGGCATGTTTTGATAGAGTAGCATTCAGGGCCGTTGTGAATAAGGGAGAGGTTGAGTTAGAGTCAGAGATAAGAGTTTGACTTACTAAGTCATAACTATTGAGTTTGTTAGTCAGAAGGAATAAGAGTTTGAATGAGTGAGTTAAAACTAGCCAATAGTGTGAGTGAATCTGGGATAGTTGTTCATAATGAGTCCAAGCCTAGTCCTTGACTAAGAAGCACTTTATTCTCTATACTGTCCAGATGTAGGTTTAATCTGTGTCTGGGAAACCAGCCTATAGAGTCAAGGATAGAGATTGAATTTGATTCAAGGGTAGAGTTTGTGTCAGCACTAACTGCTACAGTTTCAGTTAGATTCAGGTATAGAGCTAATCAGTGACAGAGTTGGTGTCCAAAGCCACAAAGAACATTGAGTCCTCACCAGGGCTTCCAGGTCTGCCATGAGGACCAGTTTCTCCTTTCAGCCCGTTGAGACAAACAGCACCACGCCCTGGCTCACCACGAGGACCTTGGGGTCCTTCGACGCCCCGGTCTCCTGTAAACCCTGGGGGTCCCAAAACAGTGGGGCCAGGAAAACCCACATCTCCCATTGGACCTATAGGGAAACAGAAAACAATTTTAGCCAATTAGACCAATTTTAGCCATGGACGGAGCCAATAGTAACTTAAATCAAGTTTATTACAGAACCAATTCTAATTAATAACATAGGTTTAGCCAATAACAAATCCAAATGTTGAGCCAGTGGTACATGTCTGAAGGTATAGGAATGATGTCATCAATCCGAGACTCACCTGGTTGTCCATTCTCTCCACGTAGGCCAGGAGTCGACCCCACAATCACTAGAGAGAGCACCAGAAGATATTATATCCACAAAATGTAAAATTATTACATATGCATGGGGCAAGAAGTATTGATATAAAACACAACGCAAGTAGAAGTCAAGGTGTCTTACGTGTCTCTCCCTTCTGACCAGCAGGTCCAGGAATACCATCGTGACCTTGGTTACCTTTAGGACCACAGGGACCAGGAGGGCCAGGTAACCCTGGTTGTCCTATGAAAGAGTACATGGTCAGACACCCCAACAACATATACACACACGTCAGAGACATAAAAACATACACATACTGTATTTTCATTGATATACAGTATTTCTTGAATAAACCTTAGTGATGTTCTGACCTGGAGCTCCATATGACGGAGTGGGTCCTGGGGGGCCTGGAGGACCATCGGTACCTGGTGGCCCTGCAGGACCTTGGGGTCCTGGATCACAGAGAAGAAACAAAAAGAAAGAAAGACTAAGAAAATTACAAGCATCATCATCCTCATGATCATCTATCATAATTAGTATTTCAGTAGTAGTAACCATGATGTCCATAATGTCCTGGGTCTCCTTTGGCTCCAGTGGGACCTTGGGAGCCTGGACGACCTGCGTAAGCAGGAGAGCCTTTCTCTCCCTTGGAACCATGTCTGCTCCACACTGCTGGCTCGCCCTAAAGAGAAGGAGAGAGAGCGAGAGAGAGAGAGAGAGAGAGCGAGAGAGAGAGAGAGAGAGAGAGCGAGAGAGAGAGAGAGAATAGTGTTATCAGAGCCAGGTAACAGTCACATTGGTGTTTAAATGGTGTCTGTAGTTATACAGTATTGTGTTGCACCTTGGCAGTGATTCCAATAGCTGGTAATAGACTGTGGTTCTGTTTGTTGAACACACCTTCTGTCCAGGTGGTCCTAGTCGGCCTGGTTGAGCATAACTGGCCTCTCCTTTAGTTCCTTTAGGCCCGTATGGACCGGGTCTACCGTCTTGTCCCGGGCCTCCGTGGTAACCTGGAACTCCCTTTATTCCATGGGGACCTAGGATATCACATCCACACAACTCAATAAGAACTGTAAGAACATAATCAATTGGATTTTAATTTGTTTGAACCATTTTCAGTATATCATAAGTTGGTATGCCATGCATACAAGAATACCTTTTGTTGTGATTGTGTGTGAGTGTGTGTGTGTGTGTGTTACCTGGTAAACCCATGATCCCAATATCTCCCCAGGGTCCAGATGGGCCTGGTCCTCCTACTGAATATAGGTCATCGGCTCCACGATCACCTGGGGGACCTAACATCACGTCATTAGTTTGCTTGCTGAAAGGCAACTCTAGCAATCTGACATACTCTTGTTATAAATCATACTAAAACAGTCACTACTATTACTAATGTAGTCACTACCAATTAAATTACTACTGCAGTCATTACCACTTCCACTGCATGTTGTTTTACCCCACTACCATTTATTTCACAAGTATAAATATTCAAAGACAAGCAAGCACACACATTTTATTTAGGAAAATGTCCTATTCCATTTTCTACTGGTCAACTTAAGAGAAAGGTAATAATGGGTTATGTGCACACTGCACAGTCATCATTCAGGAAGTAAGGACACAGGTGTGTTGTGTCACTGGGTTTGTTCAGCCTATCCTCTACCTCCACAGGGCTGGGAATCTGCCCTGTATCAATGGTTCCTAATAGCCAATGGGTGGTAGGGATTCTGCAGGGCCGACTCCTAACATTGGAGTTGCTAGAAATAATAAAAAGTGCATAATCTATAGGAAGGTTGTGATTGTATTTAACATATGATTTCGTTAAATCACCTTATCAGGTTTGAATATGATTTATTATGCGTTTTGTTATCATCAATATGTTTTACAACTGGTATCAGCAGTGTGATTTTCTCGTCTTAAGTCATTCTTAAGATTATTAAGATAATTTTAAATTATTCTCTTTTGTTTTTACCCCTGAAATGTATCCGGTTAAGCTCGGTTAATGTATTTTATGGTCCCCTTGGATTCATTAGCATATAGTATAGCTGAACTCTGTGTGAACTCTTGTTGATGGTTCTGACTTTTGCAAATCAGGTTCCGGACAATTACCACTCCCACTTTATCCTTGATCGATAGAGTGACTACCACCTTGATTGATAGCGTGCTGCTCCTTATGCTGAGTCTACATACAGGAGGTTGAGTGTGTGTCTGTAATGCTGAACTTTGCTTCACCTATGGGCACCGCTGTACTGTTGATTATGTTATAAATATTTGTAATTTAGTGCTGTGTTTTTTTATTTATTACATTGTGTGAACAAGCGTGTGCATTGTCGATCTTGCCCACCTGCCATATTGTTTGCCAAAGAGGATCACAATAAAATAAGACTTTATCGTGTTTTTACCCTCAATAATATTTAATGTATGCAATGTTGTCTCTGACTGGAGCAGCCTACTACTTTTAATGATCAAATCAATCAATCAATCAAATCTAAAATGATGCCCAGGCTCCACACGTGTGTCCTTACTTCATCCTACAAACAGCTTATCATACGGATCATAGGCACGCAAACGTAGAAGATTGATTGTGCAATGTACACATAACTCATTACCTTTGTCCTCAGTTGAGCCAATAGAAATTAACCTCTACTGTATACTGTAGGTCTGGTGACATCATTGAGAGCAGAGCATGTGAGCGGAGTTGAGCGGTTGGAAATCCTGCTCATCCCTCATGGAGCAGTGCTCCGGTACTCCATGTCCTTTCCTAATCTCTGCTAAAAACCGCTCCTCCCTCACAGGAAAAGAAACTCCCGCTTCAAATTTGCCCCATTCATTAAAATCACATTTTAACCAACACCCATCTACAGTGGGGGAAAAAAGTATTTAGTCAGCCACCAATTGTGCAAGTTCTCCCACTTAAAAAGATGAGAGAGGCCTGTAATTTTCATCATAGGTACACGTCAACTATGACAGACAAAATGAGAAAAAGAAATCCAGAAAATCACATTGTAGGATTTTTTATGAATTTATTTGCAAATTATGGTGGAAAATAAGTATTTGGTCAATAACAAAAGTTTCTCAATACTTTGTTATATACCCTTTGTTGGCAATGACACAGGTCAAATGTTTTCTGTAAGTCTTCACAAGGTTTTCACACACTGTTGCTGGTATTTTGGCCCATTCCTCCATGCAGATCTCCTCTAGAGCAGTGATGTTTTGGGGCTGTCGCTGGGCAACACGGATTTCAACTCCCTCCAAAGATTTTCTATGGGGTTGAGATCTGGAGACTGGCTAGGCCACTCCAGGACCTTGAAATGCTTCTTACGAAGCCACTCCTTCGTTGCCCGGGCGGTGTGTTTGGGATCATTGTCATGCTGAAAGACCCAGCCACGTTTCATCTTCAATGCCCTTGCTGATGGAAGGAGGTTTTCACTCAAAATCTCACGATACATGGCCCCATTCATTCTTTCCTTTACACGGATCAGTCGTCCTGGTCCCTTTGCAGAAAAACAGCTCCAAAGCATGATGTTTCCACCCCCATGCTTCACAGTAGGTATGGTGTTCTTTGGATGCAACTCAGCATTCTTTGTCCTCCAAACACGACGAGTTGAGTTTTTACCAAAAAGTTCTATTTTGGTTTCATCTGACCATATGACATTCTCCGAATCCTCTTCTGGATCATCCAAATGCACTCTAGCAAACTTCAGACGGGCCTGGACATGTACTGGCTTAAGCAGGGGGACACGTCTGGCACTGCAGGATTTGAGTCCCTGGCGGTGTAGTGTGTTACTGATGGTAGGCTTTGTTACTTTGGTCCCAGCTCTCTGCAAGTCATTCACTAGGTCCCCCCGTGTGGATCATTTTGATCCCACAGGGTGAGATCTTGCGTGGAGCCCCAGATCGAGGGAGATTATCAGTGGTCTTGTATGTCTTCCATTTCCTAATAATTGCTCCCACAGTTGATTTCTTCAAACCAAGCTGCTTACCTATTGCAGATTCAGTCTTCCCAGCCTGGTGCAGGTCTACAATTTTGTTTCTGGTGTCCTTTGACAGCTCTTTGGTCTTGGCCATAGTGGAGTTTGGAATGTGACTGTTTGAGGTTGTGGACAGGTGTCTTTTATACTGATAACAAGTTCAAACAGGTGCCATTAATACAGGTAACGAGTGGAGGACAGAGGAGCCTCTTAAATAAGAAGTTACAGGTCTGTGAGAGCCAGAAATCTTGCTTGTTTGTAGGTGACCAAATACTTATTTTCCACCATAATTTGCAAATAAATTCATAAAAAATCCTACAATGTGATTTTCTGGATTTCTTTTTCTCAATTTGTCTGTCATAGTTGACGTGTACCAATGATGAAAATTACAGGCCTCTCTCATCTTTTTAAGTGGGAGAACTTGCACAATTGGTGGCTGACTAAATACTTTTTTTCCCCACTGTATTTTTGTGACTACCTGGACCTACCAATTGGGTTTTAAGTATTTAAACCAAACCATTTTGAATGAAAAGTATTTGAATAAACATGAAAAGGTGAATGTAGGAAGCGAACATCATTTCAAATAGGCTACATGTCCTATTAAACAGCATACAAACACTCTAAATAGGTCAGGAGCCAGATGGAGACTAAGAAGGGAAGAAAATGAATTATTTAGGCTATATTATTTAAATTTGTTCAAGGCTACAGCCTACAAAGAAATACATTGTGAAGCATTTGCGAGTGCAACACAATAGGCTGGTAGGGACATAAAGGGCTCAGCATTTAAACAACATTTTGTTTTATTAAATCAGTGTAGTCTATACATTGGGCATTTAGGCTGTGACTTACTTAGAATTAAATACAAATTAAATGAAAACTGACTTATTAGTGCCTTTGAATTCATTTTTAGAAATCATTTTTAGAAACACGAGTTTGGCCAGTCTGTGGCTTCAGGCTCATGGGGATAATAAACACCCTTTTGGCCATTCTTGCCAGGCTGGGCAGAGATATTTTTATTTTTTTAGGCCAAAATAATCAAATCAAAACGGAAAGCTCCTTGAACGTGGGAATATTGGGCCAAAACTAAATTATGGCCTATTGTATAGGTAATAGAACGAAAATTAACGAAACGTTTAAGAGATCTGATTTTTTGTTTATAAATACTTTGCTATAATGACAGTTATCTACCCACCTCATTCCTTTATTTTAGCATGTGCACATAGTAAGTACACCATCAAGTGTCTTTTCAGATTCCACAATGATTCTTTAGTTTTGGACACTACATCACCACACTCCATCTCTTGCTCTTAGTCCTCATCTTTCTAAGTCACCTTGATTTAGCACCTGTGTGTTTTATCATAAAGAAAATATTTAGCGAACTCCATGACAGTAGCTAAAGCAAAAGGCTATAGCAGCACACAAGTAGACTACAAATGCATGCTGGGGCGGGCATGCCCTGAGCTGGTGAAGTGAGCGCTCCTGGAGCGGGTGAGAAGGCCGACACTCCAGCCTTTGGGAATCTCACTCCAGTCAAATTGGGCAGGCTCCGCTCCTCACTCCGCTCCTCGCTCCACTCCAGCTCCACTCACATGCTCGGATTGACAGAGAATAGTTGAACTCAACTTCCTCATTATATTTTAGCATTGTGTGATTTTTCTCTTGTTTAATCATTGTTAAGATTGTTAACATGGCCAAGCTCATTTTAAAATGAAAATTTTTCTTATTTGAAACCCAACCCAGTATCACAGACTACTGTGAAATAGACACAAATTGCTTATTGGAAATTCGTGACAGGCACACAAAAAAGTTTATTTTCATAAGCAGTACAAGATTTTGTATACAGTAAATTTCAAAATCACAGATAATGAGTAGGTTACTTAAGACAGAAACGATAGGAGAGAGGTTGGTTGGGGAGGATGGGTGGGCGTATAACACGAACGTCTTGCAACCCAAAGGTTGCATGTTCAAATCTCATCACGGACAATTTTAGCTAATTAGCAACTACTTACTACTTTTTAGCTACTTTGCAACTACTTAGCATGTTCGCTAACCCTTCCCCTAACCTTAACCCTATAACTACTTAGCTAGCATATTACCTAACGCTAAATCCTAACCCCTAAACCTAACCCTAACCTCTAGCCTAGCAAACGTTAGCCACCTAGCTAGCCTAGCTAATGTTAGCCACAACAAATTGGAATTTGTGCAATGTACACGAATGCGTTACGAATAAAGAATATCGTGTTATACACATGAAATGCTTTGTGATGAAAGTCGTGTAATACACACAAAAAATGACTTTTTCGTGTGCCTGTCACAAATTTGGAATAAGTAATTTGTGTCTATTTCACAATAAGCTGTGATAGTGTGTTGTTGAAACCTGTGAAATCAGACAAGTTAAGTTCCATTTGTGTATTTGATGGTTCCCTTGCGTTTATCCTACTTTAATAAATCTGGTTAAATAATACAATCTGTGTGAACTCTTGTTGATCTTTCTGACATTTGCAAATCAGGTCATGGACAATTAACACCATCATCCGGGGATGATCTCTTTATTTTGAAAGTTACACATCTTGAAAACTTGATTGCTGACAAGCAAAACAGTTTGAGACTATGTCAACAATGGACTATTGAAACAAATACCAAAATATAGCTATTGAGTGGAGATTTCCTTTAAGTACACAGGTGTGATGTAGAGAACTTTGGATAGCAATATCCTGTCAACATCCCCAATATGAGCGTGTTTTGCATGCCATGTCCACATCATCCCAAAGTGTCTGAAATTGATTGTCAAACTGAATAAAGATGATTTGGATATGACTGGACATGATCATATTTAGTATCGGCCATGGTGATATCGTGGATATTGACTTGCATTATTTTTGTTAGTATTTGGAAACAGTGGCCACTACTATTACCAGAACTACCATCACTACTGCAGTCAGTACCACAAAGCAGGACATTTCCTTTTCGCACGCACACACACCTCTAGGTCCATGTTTTCCTGGGTCACCATCCCTCCCATCAATGCCTTTTGGACCAGGATATCCAGGGTCTCCTCTAACACCAGGAAAACCAAGCATACCTATTGTACAACAGATAATCCACATTAAATGACCATATTACTCACAATATTTGATTACATATTTTGGTCCGTGATTCAAACGGGACCTGTCATAGCATTTTTTTGCACAGTATCCTTATGCATTTGCACTCTGACAACTGGAAACATCTGCACACTGTACATGTGAGCTGAGTATACCTCGTAGTAGTATCTTTTTACACAACCTTGATTCCATTTGACCACGAGTAATAAGTTCTTCTGCGTAAATACTCCATTGTGGGTTTGATTGAATTGATCGCAGAGTCTCTATGGTGCTCACCAGGCTGTCCAGGGTCCCCTGGGAACCCATATAAGTCTGTGATAGGTCCTGGGCTAGGAGGACCTGGGATTCCGTTGTCCCCCACAGGGCCTGGTACACCTCTATGGCCTTTATCCCCTTCACGGCCATCCGACCCTGCCGAGAAACACACAGAATAATAATCCTTATACTGTATATCAGTATCATCACCACCTTTATGTTTTACAGTATATTTGTACTTGTGAGTGTGTGCGCACGTCTGTGTGTGTGTTTGCAAGTCCAAGTGTGCGCGCGAGTGTGTGTTTGCCAGTCCAAGTGTGTGTGTGTACGTGTGTGTGTACGCACGCCTGTGTGCGTACGCGTCTGTACATATGTGTGACCTCTGACCTCTGGGGCCGGGTGGTCCTCCAGATCCAGGGGGTCCGTCAAGGCCAGGTCCAGATCTTCCATCCAGCCCAGGGTCACCTCGAGGACCTGTAGTAGTTAACATACACTGCATCAACTACTGTAGTAGTAAAAAATACATTACCCAGGTCCCTGTGAAGTATTAGACTAACTCAATGTAATGACACCGGAGCACATTCAATTTAATCAAACATTATTTGTGACTGGTTACAGAATCCTATGCATTTGACACTAGTTCCTACTTCACAGGAGGGAGGTTTGATTTTTTTTTTTAAATGCTTTTTTGGGGTATGATATTTATGCTTCTAACTTTCTCACTCATCATTCACAATTCATTCATGATTATCCTTAATCATGGTAGCATCCATATTAATGTAGAAGTGTTTAGAAACATATTATATTCTTATTTACAATAAAAGTGACTCCAAAATTACACAAGTTATTTACCATTCATTTCTATTGGGCACAACATAATCTGAAACAACCAAAACAAACTACAAATTAATCCAACAAGTTTGTAGAGTCACAAGCTTGATGTAATCATTGCGTGCTAGGAATATGGGACCAAATAATAAACATGTGACTACTTTAATACACTATAAGTGAATGTGACACCTTCAAATGGGGGTACTAGATATATATAAAAAAATCATTTCTAAAAAAGTAAAACCAATATGTATCAAAATACCCAAATGAAAAGGTGACATTCTGTACTGTCGCCTCATACACTGAACAAAAATATTAACGCAACATGTAAATTGTTGGTCCCATGTTTCATGAGCTGAAATAAAATATCCCAGAAATATTCCATATGCACAAAAAGCTTATTTCTCTCAAATGTTGTGCACAAATCTGTTTACATCACTGTTAGTGACCATTTCTCCTTTGCCAAGATAATCCATCCACCTGACAGGTGTGGTATATCAAGAAGCTGATTAAACAGCATGATCATTACACAGGTGCACCTTGTGCTGGGGACAATACAAGGCCACTCTAAAATGTGCAGTTTTGTCACACAACACAATGCCACAGATGTCTCAAGTTTTCAGGGAGCATGCAATTGGCATGCTGACTGCAGGAATGTCCACCAGAGCTGTTACCAGAAAATGTAATGTTTATTTCACTAGCGTAAGCTGCCTCCAACGTAGTTTTAGAGAATGTGGCAGTACGTCCAACCGGCCTCACAACCACACAACACGTGTAACCACGCCAGCCCAGGACCTCCACATCCAGCTTCGTCTGAGACCAGCCACCCGGACAGCTGATGAAACTGGGTTTGCACAACCGAAGAATTTCTGCACAAACTGTCGGAAACCGGCTCATCTGCATTCTCGTCGTCCTGACTAGGGTCTTGACTGGACTGCAGTTCTGTGTCGTAACCGACTTCAGTGGCAAATGCTCACCTTCGATGGCCGCTGGCACACTGGAGAAGTGTGCTCTTCACGGATGAATACCGGTTTCAACTGTACCGGGCAGATGGCAGACAGCGTGTGTGGCGTCGTGTGGGTGAGTGGTTTGCTGATGCCAACGTTGTGAACAGAGTGCCCCATGGTGGCGGTGGGGTTATGGTACGGACAGGCATAAGCTACAGACAGCGAACACAATTGCATTTTATTGATGGCAATTTGAATGCACAGAGATTGCGTGACGAGATCCTGAGGCCCATTGTCGTGCCATTCACCCGCAACCATCACCTCATGTTTCAGCATGATAATGCACAGCCCCATGTCGCAAGGATCTGTACACATTTCCTGGAAGCTGAAAATGTCCCAGTTCTTCCATGGCCTGCATACTCACCAGACATGTCACCCATTGAGCATGCTTAGGATGCTGTACGACAGCGCGTTCCAGTTCCCACCAACATCCAGCAATTTCACACAGCCATTGAAGAGGAGTGGGAAAACATTCCACAGGCCACAATCAACAGCCTGATCAACTCTATGCAAAGATGTGTCGAGCTGTATGAAGCAAATGGTGATCACACCAGATCCTGACTAGTTTTCTGATCCATGCCCTTACCATTTTTTAAAAAGGTATTTGTGAGCCAACAGATGCACTGTAACTTTGCTAAGCCTTATAAGACAGTGTACTATAAATGCTCAGACATGCTTACAACATATCTTAGCACATTATTAATGGCGCCGGAGGAGATGGCTGCCTTTTTAAGGCCCCCTAACCAAATGTGCTATTATGTGTGTTTTTTCGCGTTATTTGTAATTTATTCTGTACATAATGTTTCTGCCACCGTCTCTAATGACCAAAAATAGCTTCTGGATATCAGGACAGCGATTACTCACCTCGTATTGGACGAAGATTATTTATTCAACGAGTCGGACGCAAAGGATATTCTACAGACACCTGATAAAGCCCAAATCCTCGTCATTCTGTCACGACCGTCTACGGAATGAGTGGACCAAAGCGCAGCGTTTGTAGCGAACATGTTGACTTTATTAAATAAAGCAACCACGAAAACAACAAAACCAAAATGACGATACGTGAAGTCCAAAAGTGACAATGACTGAACATGGAACAAAAACCCACAACCACAAGGTGAAAACACACAGTATAAATATGGCTCCCAATCAGAGATAACGAGCCGACAGCTGACACTCGTTACCTCCGATTGGGAGTCATTGACCAACCAAGACAACACAACCAACACACAACAAAACGAACACACCCTGGCTCAACATACAAAGTCCCGGAGCCAGAGCGTGACACATTCGCATGAGAAAGAGACGGAGATATCGTGGACGTAGGTCGGGGTGCCTTGTAAGGATCCGACGGCGAGTGAGTAATCTGTCTCTACCATCAGTCCTACTAGCCAACGTACAATCATTGGCTGGTCATGGCTCACATCAACACCATTATCCTAGAAACCCTAGACCCACTCCAATTTGCATACCACCCCAACAGATCCACAGATGATGCAATCTCTATTGCACTCCACACTGCCCTTTCCCACCTGGACAAGAGGAACATCTATGTGAGAATGCTATTTATTGACTACAGCTCAGCGTTCAACACCATAGTGCCCTCAAAGCTCATCACTAAGCTAAGGACCCTGGGACTAAACACCTCCCTCTGCAACTGGATCCTGGACTTCGTGACGGGCCACCCCCAGGTGGTAAGGGTAGGTATCAACACATCTGCCACGCTGATCCTCAACACGGTGGCCCCTCAAGGGTGTGTGCTCAGTCCCCTCCTGTACTCCCTGTTCACCCATGACTGCATGGCCAGGCACGACTCCAACACCATCATTAAGTTTGCTGACGACACAACAGTGTCCTATAGGGAGGTCAGAGACCTGACCGTGTGGTGCCAGGATAACAACCTCTCCCTCAACGTGATCAAGACAAAGGAGATGATTGTGGACTACAAAAAAAATGAAAAAAAGAGGACTGAGCACGCCCCCATTCTCATCGATGGGGCTGTAGTGGAGCAGGTTGAGAGCTTCAAGTTCCTTGGTGTCCATATCACCAACAAACTATCATGGTCCAAACACACCTAGACAGTCGTGAAGAATGCACGACAAAGGCCATTCCCCCTCAGGAGACTGAAAAGATTTGGCATGGGTCCTCAGATCCTCAAAGTTATACAGCTGCACCATCGAGAGCATCCTGACTGGTTGCATCACTGCCTGGAATGGCAACTACTCGGCCTCCGACCACAAGGCACTACAGAGGGTAGTGCGTACGGCCCAGTACATCACTGGGGCCAAGCTTCCTGCCATCCAGGATCTCTGTACCAGGCGGTGTCAGAGGAAGGCCCTAAAAATTGCAAAAGACTCCAGCCACCCTAGTCATAGACAGTTCTCTCTGCTACTGCACGGCAAGCGGTACCGGAGCGCCAAGTCTAGGTCCAAAAGCCTTCCTAACAGCTTCTACCCCCAAGCCATAAGACTCCTTAACAGCTAATCATGGCTACCCGGACTATTTGCATTGACCCCCCACCCCACCCCCTCTTTTACGCTGCTGCTACTCTCTGTTTATTATCTATGCATAGTCACTTCAACTCTACCCACATGTACATATTACCTCGACTAACCTGTGCCCCAGCACATTGACTTTGTACCGGTACCCCCTGTATACAGTGGGGAAAAAAAGTATTTAGTCAGCCACCAATTGTGCAAGTTCTCCCACTTAAAAAGATGAGAGAGGCCTGTAAATTTCATCATAGGTACACGTCAACTATGACAGACAAAATTTGATTTTATTTCTCCAGAAAATCACATTGTAGGATTTTTAATGAATTTATTTGCAAATTATGGTGGAAAATAAGTATTTGGTCAATAACAAAAGTTTCTCAATACTTTGTTATATACCCTTTGTTGGCAATGATACAGGTCAAACGTTTTCTGTAAGTCTTCACAAGGTTTTCACACACTGTTGCTGGTATTTTGGCCCATTCCTCCATGCAGATCTCCTCTAGAGCAGTGATGTTTTGGGGCTGTCGCTGGGCAACACGGATTTTCAACTCCCTCCAAAGATTTTCTATGGGGTTGAGATCTGGAGACTGGCTAGGCCACTCCAGGACCTTGAAATGCTTCTTACGAAGCCACTCCTTCGTTGCCCGGGTGGTGTGTTTGGGATCATTGTCATGCTGAAAGACCCAGCCACGTTTCATCTTCAATGCCCTTGCTGATGGAAGGAGGTTTTCACACAAAATCTCACGATACATGGCCCCATTCATTCTTTCCTTTACACGGATCAGTCGTCCTGGTCCCTTTGCAGAAAAACAGCCCCAAAGCATGATGTTTCCACCCCCATGCTTCACAGTAGGTATGGTGTTCTTTGGATGCAACTCAGCATTCTTTGTCCTCCAAACACGACGAGTTGAGTTTTTACCAAAATGTTCTATTTTGGTTTCATCTGACCATATGACATTCTCCCAATCCTCTTTTGGATCATCCAAATGCACTCTAGCAAACTTCAGACAGGCCTGGACATATACTGGCTTAAGCAGGGGGACACGTCTGGCACTGCAGGATTTGAGTCCCTGGCGGCGTAGTGTGTTACTGATGGTAGGCTTTGTTACTTTGGTCCCAGCTCTCTGCAGGTCATTCACTAGGTCCCCCTGTGTGGTTCTGGGATTTTTGCTCACCGTTCTTGTGATCATTTTGACCCCACGTGGTGAGATCTTGCGTGGAGCCCCAGATCGAGGGAGATTATCAGTGGTCTTGTATGTCTTCCATTTTCTAATAATTGCTCCCACAGTTGATTTCTTCAAACCAAGCTGCTTACCTATTGCAGATTCAGTCTTCCCAGCCTGGTGCAGGTCTACAATTTTGTTTCTGGTGTCCTTTGACAGCTCTTTGGTCTTGGCCATAGTGGAGTTTGGAGTGTGACTGTTTGAGGTTGTGGACAGGTGTCTTTTATACTGATAACAAGTTCAAACAGGTGCCATTAATACAGGTAACGAGTGGAGGACAGAGGAGCCTCTTAAAGAAGAAGTTACAGGTCTGTGAGAGCCAGAAATCTTGCTTGTTTGTAGGTGACCAAATACTTATTTTCCACCATATTTTGCAAATAAATTCATAAAAAATCCTACAATGTGATTTTCTGGATTTTTTTTTCTCAATTTGTCTGTCATAGTTGACATGTACCTATGATGAAAATTACAGGTCTCTCTCATCTTTTTAAGTGGGAGAACTTGCACAATTGGTGACTGACTAAATACTTTTTTCCCCCACTGTATAGCCTCCCTACTGTTATTGTATTTTACTGCTGCTCTTTAATTATTTTGTACTTATCTATTTTTTACTTATTTTTCTTAAAATTGCATTGTTGGTTAAGGGCTTGTAAGTAAGCATTTCACTGTAAGGTCTACACCTGTTGTATTCGGCGCATGTGGCAAATACAATTTGATTTGATCTGTTAGCTTTGAAGTGTTACCAATGTGTTGAATGTATCCGTTCTGTTAATGTACCTGGTGCGCCTGTTAACCCATCTCTCCCTCTGCCTCCCTTCTGTCCATCCAGCCCCTGCACTCCGGGTCCTGAGACCCCAGGAGGCCCAGGGTCACCCGCCGGGCCTGAATGTCCAAAACCTTGCGCGCCAGGGGCCCCAAGCTCACCCGTCTGTCCATATAAACCTGGGTGAGAGGAGGGACTGTGGTCGATTAGTGGATGGAGAGAAAGAGAAACAAGAGAGAGAAAGAAAAGAGAAGGGAGGAGAAAAGAGGAAGTTGAATGGAGAGGAAGAGAGAGGAAGCAGTCAGGAAAGTATTGGCAAAAGAGAAGAGAGGACCCACTGGGCACAAACTGGTTGAATCAACGTTGTTTGAACGTATTGTGACGTGGAATCTCCATGGAAAAGACATTGGATTTTTAAAAAAAGTAATAAACGTAAACTGTTGTTTTGAGGGTGAAATTTCAACCACAGGATTATGTCATCATGTTAACCAAATTTAAACATAGAAAAACCTTGAATAAAATGTGAATTTGTACCTTTAAAACAACGTCAGATCTTCAACGTTATATCCGCTATCAGAAGAAGAAAAAAACTATAGGCTGGGCAGCACCTCCTACTGGAGAATTTATCCATCTACAGCCACCCTTTGGTCTCCCATCCAGGGTTTTAATCCAGTCTAGCCCTGCTAAATTATGATATTTGTCATTGACTATTACCAATGTTCTATTGTGAGAATGATTGTTGAGCGATCTCCACTTAAAAACTAAACAGATTCACTGTTGCTATTGCAGTGCGATGCAGTGCCTTAGACCACTGCGCCACTCAGGAGTTCTCGCCACTCAGAAGTAATACCAAAGGGTAGGTTTAACAGAGCAAATTAAATGTGACCATACTTTATCACTCATATCATCAATGATGCTATTTAGGCCTATATAGCGTTTGTAAAGTTATCAACAGCTATTGTTTCAATTCAATCCAGAACCAAACTAACAATAGACAATACAATAGGCCTAGGGTTTCAAGCTCTGGTTGATTTAAAATGTAATGATATTTAGTGATGTTGAATTATGTTTGGTTGTCAATACAACCAGATATCAACATTTGAAGATGTATCTTCTACTTGGATAGTTTCATCTGTACAACTGATTTAGTCTGGCTTTAATTGCACTTTGTCTACAAATTAATAAGTTGGATTCACATCTCCCTCTCAACCAAAAATCAAAGTTAAAGAATAGGACTAAATCAAATCAAACTTTTTAAAGTGCGTTTAAAGTTTGATTTGATCCTATCCTTTAACTTAGATTTTTGGTTGAGATGGAGACGTGAATCCAACATATAAATTATTAATTTGTACACAAACTGGAATTAATAATAATAATAATAATAATAATAATAATAATAATATGCCACTTAGCAGACGCTTTTATCCAAAGCGACTTACAGTCATGTGCGCATACATTTTTACTTATGGGTGGTTCTAGGGATCGAACCCACTACCCTGGCATTACAAGCGCCATGCTCTACCAATTGAGCTACAGAGGACCAATTAGTCCGTGGCACAGGTGGAACTATCCAAGCAGTAGATAAATCTCCCTTAAATAATGATATTTGGTTGCGTTGTCAACCAAACACAATAGGATGGCTTTCACTTCAGCAGTGATAAATTCATGAACTTCTTTGAGGAAAAGATCATGACCATTAGAAAGCAAATTACGGACTCCTCTTTGAATCTGCGTATTCCTCCAGGGCTTAGCTGTCCTGGATCTGCACAGCTCTGCGAGGGCCTGGGATCGGGAGAGACACTTAAGTGTTTTAGTACTATATCTCTTGACACGATGATGAAAATAATCATGGCCTCTAAACCTTCAAGCTGCATACTGGATCCTATTCCTACTAAACTGCTGAAGGAGCTGCTTCCTGTGCTTGGCCCTCCTATGTTGAACATAATAAACAGCTCTCTATCCACCGGATGTGTACCAAACTCACTAAAAGTGGCAGTGATAAAGCCTCTCTTGAAAAAGCCAAACCTTGACCCGGAAAATATAAAAAACTATCGGCCTATATCGAATCTTCCATTCCTCTCAAAAATTTTAGAAAAAGCTGTTGCGCAGCAACTCACTGCCTTTCTGAAGACAAACAATGTATACGAAATGCTTCAGTCTGGTTTTAGACCCCATCATAGCACTGAGACTGCACTTGTGAAGGTGGTAAATGACCTTTTAATGGCGTCAGACCGAGGCTCTGCATCTGTCCTCGTGCTACTAGACCTTAGTGCTGCCTTTGACACCATCGATCACCACATTCTTTTGGAGAGACTGGAAACCCAAATTGGTCTACACGGACAAGTTCTGGCCTGGTTTAGATCCTACCTGTCGGAAAGATATCAGTTTGTCTCTGTGAATGGTCTGTCCTCCGACAAATCAACTGTACATTTCGGTGTTCCTCAAGGTTCCGTTTTAGGACCACTATTGTTTTCACTATATATTTTACCTCTTGGGGATGTTATTCGAAAACATAATGTTAACTTTCACTGCTATGCGGATGACACACAGCTGTACATTTCAATGAAGCATGGTGAAGCCCCAAAATTGCCCTCGCTAGAAGCCTGTGTTTCAGACATAAGGAAGTGGATGGCTGAAAACTTTTTACTTTTAAACTCGGACAAAACAGAGATGCTTGTTCTAGGTCCCAAGAAACAAAGAGATCTTCTGTTAAATCTGACAATTCATCTTGATGGTTGTAAAGTCGTCTCAAATAAAACTGTGAAGGACCTAGGCGTTACTCTTGACCCTGATCTCTCTTTTGACGAACATATCAAGACTGTTTCAAGGACAGCTTTTTTCCATCTACGTAACATTGCAAAAATCAGAAATTTTCTGTCCAAAAATGATGCAGAAAAATTAATCCATGCATTTGTTACTTCTAGGTTAGACTACTGCAATGCTCTATTTTCCGGCTACCCGGATAAAGCACTAAATAAACTTCAGTTAGTGCTAAATACGGCTGCTAGAATCCTGACTAGAACCAAGAAATTTGATCATATTACTCCAGTGCTAGCTTCCCTACACTGGCTTCCTGTTAAGGCAAGGGCTGATTTCAAGGTTTTACTGTTAACCTATAAAGCGTTACATGGGCTTGCTCCTACCTATCTTTCCGAGTTGGTCCTGCCGTACATACCAATACGTACGCTACGGTCACAAGACGCAGGCCTCCTAATTGTCCCTAGAATTTCTAAGCAAACAGCGGGAGGCAGGGCTTTCTCCTATAGATCTCCATTTTTATGGAACAGTCTGCCTACCCATGTGAGAGACGCAGACTCAGTCTCAACCTTTAAGTCTTTACTGAAGACTTATCTCTTCAGTAGGTCATATGATTGAGTGTAGTCTGGCCCAGGAGTGTGAAGGTGAACGGAAAGGCTGGAGCAACGAACAGCCCTTGCTGTCTCTGCCAGGCCGGTTCCCCTCTCCACTGGGGTTCTCTGCCTCTAACCCTGTTGCAGGGGCTGAGTCACTGGCTTGCTGGTGCTCTTTCATGCCGTCCCTGGGAGGGGTGCGTCACTTGAGTGGGTTGAGTTACTGACGTGATCTTCCTGTCTGGGTTGGCGCCCCCCCCCTTGGTTTGTGCTGTGGTGGAGACCTCTGTGGGCTATACTCGGCCTTGTCTCAGGATTGTAAGTTGGTGGTTGGGGATATCCCTCTAGTGGTGCGGGGGCTGTGCTTTGGCGGAGTGGGTGGGGTTATATCCTTCCTGTTTGGCCCTGTCCGGGGGTTTCTTCGGATGGGGCCACAGTGTCTCCGGACCGCTCCTGTCTCAGCCTCCAGTATTTATGCTGCAGTAGTTTATGTGTCGGGGGGCTGGGGTTAGTTGGTTATACCTGGAGTACTTCTCCTGTCTTATCCAGTGTCCTGTGTGAATTTAAGTATGCTCTCTCTAATTCTCTCGTTCTCTCTTTCTCTCTGAGAACCTGAGCCCTAGGACCATACGTCAGGACTACCGGGCATGATGACACCTTGCTGTCCCCAGTCCGCCTGGCCTTGCTGCTATTCCAGTTTCAACTGTTCTGCCTGCGGCTACGAAACCCCTACCTGTCCCAGACCTGCTGTTTTCAACTCTTAATGATCGGCTATGAAAAGCCAACTGAGAGACCTGAGCCCTAGGACCATACGTCGGGACTACCGGCCGTGGTGACTCCTTGCTGTCCCCAGTCCGCCTGGCCTTGCTGCTATTCCAGTTTAAACTGTTCTGCCTGCGGTTATGGAACCCCTACCTGTCCCAGACCTGCTGTTTTCAAACTCTTAATGATCGGCTATGAAAAGCCAACTGAGATTTATTCCTGATTATTATTTGACCATGCTTGTCACTTATGAACATTTTTGAACATCTTGGCATGGTTCTGTTATAATCTCCACCCGGCACAGCCAGAAGAGGACTGGCCACCCCTCATAGCCTGGTTCCTCTCTAGGTTTCTTCCTAGGTTTTCGCCTTTCTAGGGAGTTTTTCCTAGCCACCGTGCTTCTACACCTGCATTACTAGCTGTTTGGGGTTTTAGGCTGGGTTTCTGTACAGCACTTCGAGATATTAGCTGATGTAAGAAGGGCTATATAAAATAAAATTGATTGATTGATTGATTACTTTTGTAATACAGTGAATAGCCTAAAGTTAAGGCTATGTTACAAACAAACTAATGTAACATTAAACCTTAAAATGAGTAACACATCCACTGCCACATTTTAAGGTCACTAACTATACATTTCTTCTGATGTAATCATATAAAGCGTGCCTGTTCAGAATAGCATGCACAGGTCGCCGCAGGTCTGTGGAGATCGTCACACTTGCTGTAATAATCTGATCACTTGCACCATGTACTTTTAATGTAATCTCAACTGTAATCCAGGTCATTTGGTTCTGCTATTAGATGAAGCACAGTGATAACACATTAATATGTTGTATAAATAAACTAAATATCTGACATTGTATTCCCATTTGAACTTTGCCGTGCTTTTAAATGGTTGAAAGCACAGTGATAGACATTTGGGTGATGATTTAACCAAAACATCAGACATTGATTTCCCATTGGAATTTGGTTGTGCTTTTAGATGGTTGAAAGCATAGTGATAACACATTGGAAATTCAACTAACTTTTGGCTGTCTTTTTGAGTGGGTGAATATAGATTTTATTCTCATTGATCAATGTCTCAACCAAATATTACCCAATTATCCACGTTGAAATGACACGGTGTGCCTATTGGGGAAAGAGAAAGAAGAGAGAAGAAGACAGAAAGGGAAGAAACCACATAAGAATGAATCAAGAAAGAAAGAAACCGAGTGAGATGCCTAGAAGAAAGATGTATTTTCTGACACTGTGTGGGGACATTAGCAGGCTCCACGGGCTCACCTGGAGGTCCGCGTCTGCCTGCTGGTCCTGGTGGACCAGGTGGTCCGGTTGTAGCCCCTGTACTGTTAGTACCTGCGTAACCAGGTGGTCCTTGGGAACCTACCCCACCTTTACTTCCTACAAACAGACAAGGCCATAACTGCTTTGGGAGTATGTGCACCAGTGTGTAAATGCATGTGTGTATGCTGTTGAGTGTGGAGAGCTTAAGTGTGATAGAAATGGAGTTAGCAACAAAATGTGGGTGTGTCCCATGTCCGTATCTGTGTGTCCCATGCCCATCCCGTGTCTGAGTCTGTCTAATCTCTGTGTCCATCTGTGTGTAAAGTAAGTACCTTTCGGGCCTGGCGAGCCATTGAGGCCTAGTGGTCCTGGATTCCCTGGTTGTCCCGGTAGCCCTGGGTCTCCTGGAGGACCCTGGGCCCCAACACCACCTGGGAAACCTTTAGGGCCCACTGGACCTGGGGCCCCAAACCCACCATCACCCTGAAAGTAGATGGAAGGATGCATAATGGTTAGCGGGATGGATGGAACGACTGAGGGAATTTTGAAGGCTAGATGGATGAAAGGATGGGTAACGACAAACATATAGACAGACACAGATCGACAGAAACATGACAGGGTCGGTGTTCAGTACTGACCTTTGACCCTGGAGCCCCAGGGATTCCCGGTGCGCCGGGTCGTCCAGGGTAGCCGCTTCCAGAGGTACCTGGGGGTCCCGGGTGCCCTTTGTCACCTAGGAAACAGACCGCAACACTAGTCCTACTAACAAATGCATACACCTACATTCACAAGTAACTGGATCTAAAATATGGGGGAAAAGCTTGAATATAATTCAATATAAAATGTATATTTAAAAGAGATGTAGGCATGACTCACCTTTCTGTCCAGTGGGTCCTTGTCCTTCCAGGGTGGAGAATCCACCACTGACTCCTTTCTCCCCTCGGTTACCATCTACTCCTGTTAAACCAGCATCACCACGAGGACCTGTGTGGACAAACAACTCTATGATTATTTTCTATCATGTTTTGACCATAATGGTCTTTGTCAGGTTCTAATGGCAGTAAAGCAAAGCTTACATTCGGGTCGGAGTGGCTCCACACTACACTGAGTTTGGTGGCATTTCAGTTCTAGCCTGGAACCAAAGATGATTTGCTTCGTTTAACCATTGTTACGAAGCATATCGGTTTGGATCCAAGCTAGAACCGAAATGCCACCAAGCGCAGTGTAGTATAGACCTCCAGCCACCCCTCTCATGCTGTGGTTCGGTCCCCATTTGGGTTGCTCACCTGGGGGGCCCTGTAACCCAGGCAGCCCCATCTGTCCTGGTGGGCCTGGGACTCCCTGGTCAGCCTCTCTTTTGCTGGGCTCACCCTTCTGACCTGGTGGGGATAGAGGGGGGAGAACACTGGGGTCAGACCATCAGCATAAATAGGGGCAATTATCAGGAAGACAGTAATTTATTTATTTTATTGTAATCATACACACAAACAAGAGTATAGTATACGCAAAGGAGGCAGGGTCTCAAATGTAGTACAAGTGTGTGTGTGTGTGCGCGCTAATGACTGTATATGAATGGTCAAAGCCATCGATCACGTGACATCATTTATTTCTATGTGAAGACTCAATAGCGCATTTGAAGCCAAGTAAGTCGATTTTTGCGACTAAGATGGCATCTCATGGGGGAGATTTAAGACATAACATGCGTATGAGCAATTCCAGGAAGCGACGTTGCAGGCTAGCTCAGTGCTGCCCCCTCATTGAATATCTCAAGTTGGCCAACCGGGCTACTGCAGGCTTTTGCTATTAGCCACTAAATTATCCTTATAACTTCTTCTGAGTGCAATTTTTTTATAAAATTGGTTCAAGGCAATACATCTGGTGTAATAGTAGTAATTATTGGTTCCATGATTGTCTTCAAAGTTGTTGTTTATTTACACTAATATTGCCCAAGATGATTGCAATTTTCACATTGACTATAATGGGGGATTCTGCTTTCTAAAAACAACAGCCTGCAGTACCCCGGTCGGCCTTGAACTTCATGGCTTCAATGAGGGGGGCCCTGGTGTGTACATGCATGTGCAGGCAAGTGTGTGTGTTGCTTTACCTGGGATGCCAGCTCTGCCAGGGATACCTGGTACCCCACTATTGCCTTTGGGTCCTGGGTGGCCAAGCAGTCCTATGCCTACTGGACCTGGTGACCCATCTGGTCCTTGGTATCCCTGTGGTCCGGGAGGGCCTGGTTCGCCAACATCTCCCCTCAGAGCCGGCGGCCCATAGTACTGGCAGAGGGGACAGACTATAACCTCAGTCCATCATCAAACATTAGGTCTTCACAAAATATTTGTTCACATATCATTACTGCTTCACAGTTACAAATGTTCAGCATTCATAAAAGGTCATTTCCATGTAAAAGGACCCATGAGCACCAACATGTAAAGTTCATAGGAGCATGTCAAATTGGGTGTCAAATGAAAGCTAAGAGTCTATATTTTTGGGGAAATGAAGGCATAGATACATTTTTCAACCATTTTCCATCTAAAGAATTTGACATGATCAAAGGCTTTGATTTCTGGTCAAACAGATGGAAAAGGGGTGTAAGAAAACATCTACCAGAAAGTCTTAAACGGTATTAGAAATACATCAAGACACAATAATGTTGAAGCAAAGACCCCTGCCAACTAATATTAACACTTTATTTAGTTTTGGAGGAATTATTTCCTTGTGCCTTTTAATTCCGTTACCAAAAACCCACATATCTTTAAGATATTTTCTAATTTCTCTCCCTCATGAGGGAGGATAATGAAAGTTCACAGAAGTAACAAGTAAAGGTAGACCTACCAATTAGTTAAAGCGTTTTTACTGATTTACATTTTTGTTTAGGAATTATTAAGTGATTAAAACTCGTAATTGTTACCAAATCGATAACAGAATTAACAAAAAATTAGAAACGGAATTACTTGCAATTGAATTGGCTACAATGGGAAATGATAGTAGTAACAAACCACAGTTGGGTCGCCTGCTAAATTGCCCAGAGACAACATGCTGTGGTCCGCCCCCAGCTGCCATGCAGACATGTTGTAAAGTCTGTATATGGGTGCAACGCACATTTCGTTCATCAAACAGGAGTGAAAATGGGCTTCCATAAAGTTGGTGCAAACTTCCAATGCATTTCAACAATATTGCCAGATGACCAGGAATGGATTACATCCAACACTACCACTTCTACTGGCTGTCAACCGTCAAACCTGTGACTGCCATTGGTGAGTAGCTAGGTAGATAGCTAGCTACCAGTTACTTTTGGTTATACAACATTATTTGATAATACTAGTGAACGAGGCTAGCTTTGATACCACAGATGAAAGGGGAATGATACTCTAGCTAGCTAAATACATCAATCCAACTTAAAATAAATATATGGCTCTGGCAGCAAAGAGCAAAACTTGTAAGCAAGCATTCAGCAATGTACACAGCTGGCAGTTGCATAGTAACGGTGTCAGCGTCACCGGCCTGAATCTATTCTGTATAAACCTGAATCTAGTCCCTCTATAATTACTTCCAAACTAGAGAAAGTTATTTATCTTGTTATATGTTTATTGAGTGATATTTTATTTCATTCACAGGCTACGTACAAAATCTGGTGGATTTGCTGTTCAGCAGTGTCGTTGGGACCCCCCCTACCATATCAGGAGCAGAAGGCTGAGGCTGTACGTGGCCAGGCACCAGTCCCACTTCAGGTTGGTCACATTTGATCTGGTCATAGCTCAACATGTTCAACTGTGTATTTACTGTTGGCTTCCATGACTGTAGGGTGACAGTCTCTCTCCCTCCCTCTCTTTCTCTGTGATAGGAGCTGGGTCGGATCTATAAGTCAGGCTCCTTCATGACCAGTCCTGTGGCCTGGAGCTGATCTACGCTGCCATGCCCATCAGGCGCTGGCAAACACCTCTGAAGGAACAGGAGGTGATTTCTAATAAGACGGTACATCACAAGTGTTTAGTAATACATGTCACTCAACTCTACCTTGTTTTTCTACAGATGGAGGACAGGAGACATGGTTTTGACAGGTTGATACAGGTTGTCTGAATTGGGAAAGACCTTGTACTTAGCATTAAAATGATACAAGATACATCTATGACCTTTCAACTTATTGTGTTATTATTATTGAATTGAATGTATTCTTCAAACATGTCAGGGAACTTATAAAGGGACACCATACAGGAAGAGAAGAGATGGACATAATGCTAATAGGTCCAGTATCTATCAGCTGTGAATGATAAAAGATGAAAGACAGTGTAATATCTGTACATTGTTACATCAGCAGAACACTGCTACAGTATATGATGTGAACCCAAGGGGTCTGTGGAACAAGTTTAGATGGTGCAATACAATGTAATATTATTAATCTACAATATAGGCTACTGTTAGATGCGCAACATATATTTCACAGTGGTTTAGATGGTACAATGATTCTCTACACCCCTGGTCTTTGTAGTTGAATCTGTGCTTGAAATTCAATACTTGACTGTGGGACCTTACAGATGTTGTATGTATGGGGTTAGTCATTCAAAAATCATGTAAACCCTTGTAACTTATGTGAATTGTTGAGCCAAATTTTACTCCTTAACTAATTTAGGCTTGAATACTTATGCAACGACTATATTTTAGTTCCACATTTTTTATTTGTCTTTGACAGAGTATTTTGTGTAGATTGTTGACAAGAAAATTACAATTAAATCAATTTTAATCCCACTTTGTAACACAATAAAATGTGAAGAAATCCAAGGGTTCTGAATACTTTTGCAAGGCACTGTATTTACATGACGTGATTAATCTTTGAAACTAAGTTTCAAGCTACTTTCGTAGCAAGGTGATGTAGAATGAGTGTCTCATGAAACACATTCCAGTCACTGGCTCTTGCTATCTTGGCATAACTTTTCACAGAGAAATATCAGCTGGATAGGCTAGTCAGCTGCAGCTATCCCCAAGCTATGCTAGTTAGCTGCTGTCAGCTTGGCTAAACACAAGGTCAGCGCAGGCTGAATTCGCTGACCATCTAGAGATGGAGATTGAGGAGGGGAGAAGTCTTCAACTTCAAAACTTTTCTCCATAACAAAGCTAGCTTCGCTTACCTCACTGTCACTACTCTCTATTGGCCCTTATGTCCCACATCAAACCACACCCCCAAGACAACTTACGTTTGGCTTCAGTCATGACCGCTAGCATTACTTAATGAGCATGCTAAAAAAAAAGGCCAAATCAGTAAGCTCAGCCCCCCCTTTAAAGGGACAGTTCACCCAAATTACAAATTTACTTCAGTTTAAAGATAACCTAAAAAATGCATTCAAATCATTGCTCTGCATTTCAGAAGAAAGATAAATTTAAGTGACAGACATCGTAACTATTGAAAATCCTCACCGGATCACCCTTGGGGCCTCGTTGGCCCTTGCGTCCAGGGAAGCCAGGGGCCCCGTGATAGCCGTCCGGCCCCGATCTGCCAGCTGGTCCTGGGGCTCCTTTCTCTCCCTTTATCCCCTGGTGGTTGTGGGAACCTGGATTTCCCTTCAGCCCCGGGGGCCCTGGAACACCGGAGGGGCCGTGGGGACCCTGTAAGACAGACAGGAGGAGTTGTCATAGATACAGTAACCTAGCAACCTTCGATAAGTTATCGCAGCAATACCATAGATATGGTATCCTAGCAACACCATGGATATGGTATACTACCAACACCATGGACACGGTATACCAGTAACACCATGGATACGGTACCCAAGCAGCACCAATGATATGGTATCCTAGCAACAACATGGATACAGGATCTGAACCAGTGGTTTTCAACTGGTGTGCTGCGGCACACTGGTGTGCCTTGAGGAACTCAGGTGTGCTGCAAAACGTTTCCTAATCTTGATAATATTTTGGAACACTTAGAAACGTGACCTGAGGAATGCACATGGAATTTTGAATTGGGAGCACCAGTGCCCCTCAGATAATATATTGAATGGCACATGGTTACATCTGTATCGTTGTTTCAAGTCCAATTCGCTCAGGCTGTTACATTTGTATCATTTGAGGGGCGCGCATCACGAGCAAAGTCCTTTGTATAATTTTTACGCTTGTGAGAACCATTAGCACAGGCAAGTCTGATTATGCTTAGTTGTACCACAGCCCAGATCTGCCATAGAAACAGAGTATTTGGCTTTGTTTCCATGGTTGCACCTTTACAATGCAGACAACGTCTGGTCTATAGCTCAAACCGTTGAAAACGAAAGACCTATTTTACTGGAGCTTCTTTCTTTCTGGCGAGGATTGCTGGACGCTCTTAAAAGGGGTACACACAAATGAATCATCTTGAGTAAGGAACTATGCAAACTATATTTCAAATAAATCCCATTTCATCTATAAACAATGTTTGTCACAGAAAAATAGATGATTTGCAGTATGGATCAGAAGAGATTAATAGTGAAATTTAACGGTTCAAAAAAGTTTGGGAACCACTGATTTAAGCAACACAACATAGGAAGTGTATAACTGCAAAACCACAGGCAGTGTCACAGTGACATTGCAAGGTAAAATAAAATTGCATTTAGTATCTGTATAGTGGAGGAATGATGCAGGTAGTCTTACCGGTCGTCCAGGTGGTCCTGAGGGGCCTTTGAATCCTGGCTCTCCTTTGGGCCCTGGTCCTGCATTAACGCCTGTGTGACGAGGGTGTATTTAAATAGACTCAGATTGTTACAGGTAGAAAAATAATGAAGAGCTGACACCATCCCCTGTTCTATGTGACAGACAATCCGTTTTGTTCTACACATACATTTCTATGTGAAAGTATTTTTTATGCTGCAGGTGTTGTTACCTGGGAGTCCAGGCTGACCGGGGGGTCCCAGCTCTACAGACCCGTTTCCCGTACACAACCTACAGACCTCTCCTTTCTGACCTGTAGTGGTGAGACACACACACTTGATACCAAAATGACAACATAATAGCAACCAAAGACCTTTCGATATTCCACCATTATATTTTCCACCCATTAACACGCCACAATGCCAATGTCGGTGGAATTCCACCAATGAGACAGAAGGGTTTGTGGACAGGCTCATTAACAAGCAGTGACGACCCAGAATGTCCATCCAATAGGAATCAGAGGGAGCTCACCTTTCAAACCATATTGGCCACTGTACCCTTGTTCGCCTGTCAGGCCCTTGGCTCCCTTATCCCCCGGGGGTCCTATAAGGCCCTTAAAATTTTCTGCAACAACAAAAAAATAAGTACATAATTTTTAATCAAATAAGATCCCAGCGGGATCAAAAATGTGTCTCAAGCAGCCGGCCGCGAATGGGAGACCCATGAGGCGGCGCACAATTGGCCCAGCGTCGTCCGGGTTAGGGACCCATCGCGTTCTAGCGACTCCTTGTGGCGGGCTGGGCGCATGCACACAGACATCGGTCGCCAGCTGTACGGTGTTTCCTCCGACCCATTGGTGCGGCTGGCTTCCGGGTTAAGCGAGCAGTGTGTCAAGAAGCGGTGCAGTTTGGCAGGGTCGTGTTTCAGAGGACAAATGGCTCTCGACCTTCGCCTCTCCCGAGTCCGTACTGGAGTTGCAGCGATGGGACAAGACTGTAACTACCAATTGGATACCACGAAATTGGGGAGAAAAAGGGGTAAAAAAAATGAAATACCCCCCAAAAATGAAGTGTCTCAATAAATGACTGTGGGAGTAATTTAGTGATTTGTTTCACTTCTCGTGTGAAACAGAATGTGAGCTCGTGAGATCAGGTTGATTTAACAAGGCTAGAACATCAGAGCTGTGAACATTACTTTATTTCTGGAGAGTAAGTCTACCTGAGTCTCCAGATGGTCCTGGGGGTCCAGGGTCTCCCCTTTCCCCAGTTGTTCCTGGAAAGCCCTCTCTGCCTGGCTCGCCGTGGATGATGGGTCCTTGGTCTCCTTTATCACCTTTAGGTCCACTGTGGCCCTTCGCTCCGCAATCTCCTCCAAAGTTAGGAGCTGTGTAGGGGGAGATAGAACCCATGTACACACTTGATTGCGATGGAGAATGAGCGAGTGAATGTGTGTGTGTGTGTGTATCAGCACTTACCTGGAGGTCCAGGAGGCCCCTGGAAACCGGTGATACCTGGAAAACAGGTTGATATGTTTAGCTTCATTTCCAAGATGGCGTAGCAGTGCGGTCGCTTTTATTCATTGTCCTTGTGTAAATATCCCGTTTCTTGTTTTTTTGTCTATTTGTATATATTTCTAAATTTTTACTTTTCATTCTTTAACTAAATATACTTTCCTGCAACCCGCCTCACCCAACGTGGAAAGGATTCTATTATTTCTTTATAACTTTCATCAAGAACCTTAAGCTGAAACTAGTGTAGCTAGTGTAGCTGCAACTGAATGGCTACTTGCTATTAGTCACCGTTAGCGTCTTCACCACTGTCCGTGGCCTACACTATCCACCAGCCAGCTCTAGCTCTAGCCTGGACAATTCGTCGGCCAGTCTGCACAGCGTGCTATCGACCCAGAGCTTATTGGACTTTCTGCCGGAATCACTGGACCCTAGCGCCGGATCATCGCAACCAGCTAGCTAGCTGCAACCTGTTGTTGGCTAATTACCATTGCCCTATAGCAAGCACCAGTTAGCCTTGAGCTAGCCTCAGGCCCATCTCCCGGCTATCTACCTCTCTGTCAACCGGACGGGACCTCCTAGTGTTGACACTGAGCCCCGCCGATCCAACACGACTGGTTTGCCGACGAAATAGTCTGATGTGGTTTCAACAGGCTTCCCGTTGCGACGACCACGAAGATCCATCTGCCAGCCCCGGCCCGCTAGCACACGCAAACTACAACTGTGCTCCCTGCTAGCTGTGCTGAAGCACCATTTTGAACTGCTCTCGAACTCACATATTGCTGTTCACTGGACCTTATGATCACTCAGCTGCACAGCTGATGCCTGCTGGACTGTTCCTTTACACGGTACCCTGTCCTGTTTATTCTGTTTAGCCTTAGCCCAAACGTTATCGCTATTTCCAGTTGTTGTCTTAGCTCTCTCTAATAACACCTGTGACTGCTTTATGCCTCTCTCCCATGTCAATTATGCCTTGCCTATTGCTGTTTGGGTTAGTTCTTATTATACAATTTCACTGTAGAACCCCTAGTCCCTCTCAAACTGCCTCAAATAGTTCCTTTGTTCCACCCCCCATACACGCCGAGATCGGCTCAATCGGTGCCTCCAGTGACGCTATCTCTTTCATTGTTACCCAGCGCTTAGGGTTACCTGAACTGTACTCATATCCTTCCATATCCTTTTCTGTACATAATGCCCTGAATCTTTTCTACAACGCCCGGAGAACTGCCCCCTTTATTCTATGTACCCAACGCACTAGAAGACCAGTTCTTAAAGCCTTTAGTCGTATCCTTATTCTAGTCCTCCTCTGTTCCTCTGGTGATGTAGAGGCTAACCCAGGCCCTGCAGCCCCCAGTATCACTCCTACTCCCCAGGAGCTATCATTTGTTGACTTCTGTAACCGTAAAAGTCTTGGTTTTCTGCACGTAAATATCAGAAGCCTCCTTCCTAAGTTTGAGTTATTCACTGCATTAGCACACTCCGCCAACCCTGATGTTCTAGCAGTGTCTGAATCCTGGCTTAGGAAGGGCACCAAAAATTCTGAAATTTCCACCCCCAACTATAACATTTTCCGTCTAGATAGAACTGCCAAAGGGGGTGGAGTTGCAATCTACTGTAGAGATAGCCTGCAGAGCTCTATCATACTATCCAGGTCTGTGCCCAAACAGTTTGAGCTTCTACTTCTAAAAATCCACCTTTCCAGAAATAAATCTCTCACTGTTGCCGCTTGCTACAGACCCCCCTCAGCCCCCAGCTGTGCCCTGGACTCAATATGTGAATTGATTGCCCCCCATCTATCCTCAGAGTTCGTACTGCTTGGTGACCTAAATTGGGATATGCTTAACACCCCGGCCATCCTACAATCTAAACTAGATGCCCTCAATCTCACACAAATTATCAACGAACCTACCAGGTACAACCCTAAATCCGTAAACATGGGTACCCTCATAGATATCATCCTGACTAACTTACCCTCTAAATACACCTCCGCTGTCTTCAATCAGGATCTCAGCGATCACTGCCTTATTGCCTGCGTCCGTAACGGGTCCGCGGTCAAACGACCATCCCTCATCACTGTCAAACGCTCCCAAAAACACTTCAGCGAGCAGGCCTTCCTAATTGACCTGGCCCAGGTATCCTGGATGGATATAGATCTCATTCCGTCAGTAGAGGATGCCTGGTTGTTCTTTAAAAGTAATTTCCTCTCAATCTTAAATAAACATGCCCCTTTCAAAAAATACAGAACTAAGAACAGATATAGCCCCTGGTTCTCCTCAGACTTGACTGCCCTTGACCAGCACAAAAACATCCTGTGGCGTACTGCATTAGCATCAAATAGCCCCCGCGATATGCAACTTTTCAGGGAAGTTAGGAACCAATATACACAAGCAGTTAGGAAAGCAAAGGCTAACTTTTTCAAACAGAAATTTGCATCCTGTAGCACTAACTCCAAAAAGTTTTGGGACACTGTAAAGTCCATGGAAAATAAGAGCACTTCCTCCCAGCTGCCCACTGCACTGAGGCTAGGAAACACTATCACCACCGATAAATCTACAATAATCGAGAATTTCAACAAGCATTTTGCTACGGCTGGCCATGCTTTCCACCTGGCTACCACTACCCCGGCCACAAGCTCTGCAACTTGCCCATGCCCCCCCCGCTTCTCCTTCGCACAAATCCAGACAGCTGATGTTCTGAAAGAGCTGCAAAATCTGGACCCCTACAAATCATCTGGGCTAGACAATCTGGACCCTTTCTTTCTAAAACTAGCCGCCAAAATTGTCGCAACCCCTATTACTAGCCTGTTCAACCTCTCTTTCGTAACGTCTGAGATCCCCAGAGATTGGAAAGCTGCCGCGGTCATCCCCCTCTTCAAAGGGGGGACACTCTAGATCCAAACTGTTACAGACCCATATCCATCCTGCCCTGCCTTTCAAAAGTTTTTGAAAGCCAAGTCAACAAACAGATCACTGACCATTTCGAATCCCACCGTACCTTCTCCGCTATGCAATCCGGTTTCCGAACTGGTCATGGGTGCACTTCAGCCACGCTCAAGGTCCAAAACGATATTATAACCGCGATCGATAATAGACAGTACTGTGCAGCCGTTTTCATTGACCTGGCCAAGGCTTTCGACTCTGTCAACCACCGCATTCTTATTGGCAGACTAAATAGCCTTGGTTTCTCAAATGACTGCCTCGCCTGGTTCACCAACTACTTCTCAGATAGAGTTCAATGTGTCAAATCGGAGGGCCTGTTGTCTGGACCTATGGCAGTCTCTATGGGGGTGCCACAGGGTTCAATTCTTGGGCCGACTCTTTTCTCTGCGTATATCAATGACGTCGCTCTTGCTGCTGGTGACTCTCAGATCCACCTCTACGCAGACGACACCATTTTGTATACATCTGGCCCTTCATTGGACACTGTGTTAACAAACCTCCAAATGAGCTTCAATGCCATACAACACTCCTTCAGTAGCCTCCAACTGCTCTTAAACACTAGTAAAACTAAATGCATGCTCTTCAACCGAATGCTGCTTGCACCCGCCCACCCGACTAGAATCACTACTCTCGACGGGTCTGACCTAGAGTATGTGGACAACTACAAATATCTAGGTGTCTGGTTAGACTGTAAACTCTCCTTCCAGACTCACATTAAGAATCTCCAATCCAAAGTTAAATCTAGAATCGTTTTCCTATTTCGCAACAAAGCCTCCTTCACTCATGCTGCCAAACATGCCCTCGTAAAACTGACTATCCTACCGATCCTTGACTTCGGCGATGTCATTTACAAAATAGCCTCCAACACTCTACTCAGCAAATTGGATGTAGTCTATCACAGTGCCATCCGTTTTGTCTCCAAAGCCCCATATACTACCCACCACTGTGACCTGTACGCTCTTGTTGGCTGGTCCTCACTACATATTCGTCGCCAAACCCACTGGCTCCAGGCCATCTATAAATCACTGCTAGGCAAATCCCTGCCTTAGCTTAGCTCATTGGTCACCATAGCAACACCCACCCGTAGTCTGCGCTCCAGCAGGTATATCTCACTGGTCATCCCCAAAGCCAACACCTCCTTTGGCCGCCATTCCTTCCAGTTCTCTGCTGCCAATGACTGGAACAAATTGCAAAAATCTCTGAAGCTGGAGACACTTATCTCCCCCACTAACTTTAAGCATCAGTTGTCAGAGCACCTTACCGATCACTGCACCTGTACACAGCCCATCTGAAATTAGCCCGCCCAACTACCTCATCCCTATATTGTTATTTATTTTGCTCATTTGTACCCCAGTATCTCTATTTGCACATCATCTCTTGCACATCTATCATTCCAGTGTTAATACTAATTGTAATTATTTTGCACTATAGCCTATTTATTGCCTTACCTCCATAACTTGCTACATTTGCACACACTGTATATACATGTATCTCTGTTGTATTTTTGACTTTGTTTTGTTTTACCCCATATGTAACTCTGTGTTGTTGTTTTTATCGCACTGCTTTGCTTTATCTTGGCCAGGTCGCAGTTGTAAATGAGAACTTGTTCTCGACTGGTTTACCTGGTTAAATAAAGGTGAAATAAATAAAAATAAAAGCTATACAGACATGCTTATTGGTCATGTTGGTGAATGAGGTGGGATTATACAGTGCTACTCCACGTCTGATTGGATAGGAGGGTGAATATCAATGGGTGTGTATGCGTGTATGAGCGTAGAGTACCTGGGGGACCAGTAACTCCAGTGGGTCCCGGATGGCCAGCCAACCCTCGTTGTCCTTTGGCACCCCCGGGGCCAATCACGGCCCCGCCAATAATGGTCACCTATGGGGAGACCAGAGAGACCAGGGCATGTGTTCATAAAGCGTCAGAATAGTTCATGTAATCTTAGTCCTTCTAATCTTATCATTATGATCTAAAAGGCTAAACTGATCCTAGATCAGCACTCTCTGAGATCCTTCTCTACCGATATTGATACTGACATTATCAGGCACATTGACTCACCTCCCCGGGGTCACCATCTTGACCCTGACTACCTTTCTGTCCCTGTAGACACACAAAAACAATTATTGGCAGACATGCACACGTACAGTGCATTCGGAAAGTATTCAGACCCCTTCCCTTTTTCCACATTTGGTTACATTACAGCCTTATTCTAAAATGGATTAAATACACATTTTCCTCAATCTACACACAATACCCCATAATGACAAAGCGAAAACCAGTTTTTAGAAATGTTGGCAAATTTATAAAAAATACAAAAACGGAAATACCTTATTTACATAAGCATTCAGACCCTTTGCTATGAGACTCGAAATTGAGCTCAGGTGCATCCTGTTTCCATTGATCATCCTTGAGATGTTTCTACAACTTGATTGGAGTCCACCTGTGGTAATTCAATTGATTGGACCTAATTTGGAAAGGCACACACCTGTCTATATGAAAGTCCCACAGTTGACAGTGCATTACAGAGCAAATACCAAGACATGAGGCCTGAATGCCAAGCGTCACGTCTGGAGGAAACCTGGCACCATCCCTACGGTGAAGCATGGTGGTGGCAGCATCATGCTGTGGGGATGTTTCTCAACGACAGTGACTTGGAGACTAGTCAGGATCGAAGGAAAGATGAACGGAGCAAAGTACTGAGAGATCCTTGATGAAAACCTGCTCCAGAGCGCTCAGGACCTCAGACTGGGGCGAAGGTTCACCTTCCAACAGGACAACGACCCTAAGCACACAGCCAAGACAATGCATGAGTGGCTTCGGGACAAGTCTCAGTGTCCTTGAGTGGCCCAGCCAGAGCCTGGACTTGAACCCGATTGAACATCGCTGGAGAGACCTGAAAATAGCTATGCAGCAACGCTCCCCATCTAACCTGACAGAGCTTGAGAGGATCTGCAGAGAAGAATGGGAGAAACTCCCCAAATACAGGTGTGCTAAGCTTGTAGCGTCATACCCAAGAAGGCTGTAATCGCTGCCAAAGGTGCTTCAACAAAGTACTTAATAAAGGGTCTGAATACCTATGTAAACGTTATCTTTCCATTTTTTATTTTTTATAAATTAGCAAACAATTGTAGATGGGGGAAAAACAATTTAATCCATTTTAGAATAAGGCTGTAAAGTAACAAAAATGTGGAATAAGTCAAGCGGTCTGAATACTTTCCAAATGCACTGTACACGCACACATTATAAACATTAAAATAATTGTGGGAATGACTGACCCATGGTCCAGGGATTCCATAAGGTCCTGCTGAACCGTGATTCCCCTTTCTCCCCTAAAGGGCAAAAGTGTATAATTAAACTAACCTTACAAATAGCATTGTTAGGAGATGTGGAAAGCCATAGTCAATCAATCAACAGTATAATAGTCATTACTAAAAATATTGATCTTTAACAATCTGTAATTACTATGCGATTAGAATGGATCCAAATTGATGTAAAACATCACAGTTAAAAAATATATGGCACATGGAAATCAAGATGGTGGTTTATGGAAATTGGTGGGATGGGCTGAGTGGGACGATCATTTGTTTTTCAACAGGACAATGACCCAAAACACACCTCCAGGCTGTGTAAGGGCTATTTGACCAAGAAGGAGAGTGATGAAGTGCTGCATCAGATGACCGGGCCTCCACAATCACCCGACCTCAACCCAATTGAGATGGTTTGGGATGAGTTGGACCGCAGAGTGAAGGAAAAGCAGCCAACAAGTGCTCAGCATATGTATGAAAAAAAAAAAATGCACTCACTAACTGTAAGTCGCTCTGGATAAGAGCGTCTGCTAAATGACTAAAATGTAAATGTAAATATGTGGGAACTCCTTCAATACTGTTGGAAAAGCATTCCTCATGAAGCTGGTTGAGAGAATGCCAAGAGTGTATATAGTTATAAATAAATAAATGTACACCGGATATGTTTAAGTACTATCTATCCAGATATATGTGGGTCAGAAGTTTACATGCACTAAGTTGACTGTGCCTTTAAACAGCTTGGAAAATTCCAGAAAATTATGTCATGGCTTTAGAAGCATCTGATAGCCTAATTGACATCATTTGAGTCAATTGGAGGTGTACCTGTGGATGTATTTCAAGGCCTACCTTCAAACTCAGTGCCTCTTTTCTTGACATCATGGGAAAATCTAAAGAAATCAGCCAAGACCTCAGAATTTATTTTTTTGACCTCCACAAGTCTGTTTCATCCTTGGGAGCAATTTCCAAACGCCTGAATGTACCACGTTCATCTATACAAACAATAGTACGCAACTATAAACACCATGGGACCACGCAGCCATCATACCGCTCAGGAAGGAGACGCGTTCTGTCTCCTAAAGATGAACGTACTTTGGTGCGAAAAGTGCAAATCAATCCCAGAACAACAGCAAAGGACCTTGTGAAGATGCTGGAGGAAACAGGTACAAAATTATCTATATCCACAGTAAAACGAGTCGTATGTCGACATAACCTGAAAGGCCGCTCAGCAAGGAAGAAGCCACTGCTCCAAAACCGCCATAAAAAAACCAGACTACGGTTTGCAACTGCACATGGGGACAAAGATCGTACTTTTTGGAAAAATGTCCTCTGGTCTGATGAAACAAAAATAGATCTGTTTGGCCATAATGACGATCGTTATGTTTGGAGAAAAAGGGGGAATGTTTGCAAGCCAAAGAACACCATCCCAATCTTGAAGCACGGAGGTGGCAGCATCCTGCTGTGGGGGTGCTTTGCTGCAGGAGGGACTGGTGCACTTCACTAAATAGATGGAATCATGAGGAAGGAAAATTATGTGGATATATTGAAGCAACATCTCAAGACATCAGTCAGGAAGTTAAAGCTTGGTCGCAAATGGGTCTTCCAAATGGACAATGACCCCAAGCATACTTCCAAAGTTGTGGCAAAATGGCTTAAGGACAACAAAGTCAAGGTATTGGAGTGGCCATCACAAAGCCCTGACCTCAATCCTATAGAAAATGTGTGGGCAGAACTGAAAAAGCGTATGCGAGCAAGGAGGCCTAAAAACCTGACTCAGTTACACCAGCTCTGTCAGGAGGAATGGGCCAAAATTCACCCAACTTATTGTGGGAAGCTTGTGGAAGGCTACCTGAAACGATTGACCCACGTTTAAATTGTTTAAGGCAGTGCTACCAAATACTAATTGAGTGTATGTAAACTTCTGACCCACTGGGAATGTGATGAAAGAAATAAAAGCTGAAATAAATCATTATCTCTACTATTATTCTGACATTTCACATTCTTAAAATAAAGTGGTAAACCTAACTGACCTAAGACAGGGAATTTTTTACTAGGATTAAATGTCAGGAATTGTTAAAAACTGAGTTTAAATGTATTTGGCTAAGGTGTATGTAAACTTCCGACTTCAACTGTATGTTTTACTATCCTCGTGGGGACTTAAAATGTATTTCCATTCAGAATCCTAAACCTAACCCCTAACTTAACTCCTAACCCTAAAGCCCAACCCCTAATTCTAATCCTAACTCTAAACCCTAAGCTTAAAATAGCCTCTGTCCTCATGGGGACCTGGGAAATGTCGCCACGAGGGACGTTTTCCTTGAATTACTATCCTTGTGGGGACTTCCGGTACCCACAAGGATAGTACTACAACCCCCCCCCACCCCCACCCCACCCCCCCACACAAACAGAAAAGAAAAAACGTTTATAATTTATGTTTGATAAGACAGCTACCTTATATCCAACGAGTCCTCGATCCCCATCCTTCCCTGGCTTTCCCTAAAAGGGAATTCATGATAGTCAGTCCTCCAAAAGGAGAAGGCATATCTCTCAATCCACTTATCACTTAGTACTGTTTCTCAGCTAATCATCAAAACCACCACCACATTTTTACATTGCATCACATGTTCATTCTATCACACTGCTCAGAGGCATGAAATCCTCCCATCACTGTCATCATCATAACCGTAAGAATCATAACATCACATATGTCAGTCACTTATACAGTATAATGGCATAATGCTCATATTACATTTATACCATATGTGGAGTCAGTGTTATACCTCAGTACCAAGGTCCCCCTTGTCCCCTTTTGCTCCTTTAAAGTTGATGTGGCCAGCATAACCCTGAGGGCAGACAGAGACAGATAGACGTCAGGACAGAACAGTTCATCTAATTGCCTGTTAAACTTCTGAATCTCAAGCTAGGATTCCAGGTAACACTATATGATAGCATCACTATGACCTGAACATAACGGCATTATAACATGTCACGACAGAGGTAGCGGTTTGCATTACAACTGTACTGACATAACACCCATGGACAGCAACCTTCCTACGTCAGGGGTGTTATATGGTAGACTAAAATGTCATAGTGAAACGACACTGTCATATGCATGTCATACGACCCTGTCAAATCAAATGTAACTTGATTCTGCCCATAAAACATACCGTAGATGATTAAAAGCTAGATGTGTATGAGGAGTGGGAAAACAAGGAGATTACTTACAGGTAAACCGTTACAGCCCTTCTCACCCAGGTCACCAATCTCTCCCTGCAGAGAGAAAAGACAAGGGTCAGCTGACCTCCCATCACACCAATCAGTGAGGTTTTCAGATTGGTCAAAGGTCACAGATTTCTTAAAGGGTAGATTTTACTCCACACCCACATCACAGTATTTATTGATTAATAACAGTAATGATCATCTTAATCTCTTAATGATTATTATCAGGTCACAGTTGCGGGCATTAAAAAGGTCACGTTGTGGTATTGGTAATCTCTCGTGGACAGACATACGTAAACATAAATGGTACCATAGATCTGTCCTGTGCTTTGGACAAATCCCGATTTCGCAGGTGTTAGCATCTTATGAAATTCTGAAGGGGAGGGGACATAGACTTGCCCGTAACTTGCAAAGAGAGATGTTGGAGCTCTTCATTCCAGCTCCGATCCTCGTTTCATCTCTTCTCTTAACATGTAAGGACCCAAAACTTAATCGAGCATCTGACCAATTACGCAATACTTTAGATCTGGGTTAACCGAGATTATGGTAAAACTTTAGCTGTGCTCTATTGAACTTGCCTGTTGCAATGAAACCAACAGAAAAGTCCAAACCCCACCCACTTGGCACTCCAAGCAGGCTAAAGCAAATGCTCAAAGTAGTTTAAAGACTTCAAATAATATTTGAACCCAGGTCTGACTTGGCGTGACTGTACCTTCAATTCGAAGGGAGCGTGGGCGTATAGTTTGATCCCTTTCGGTCCCGGGACTCCAGGGGGCCCTTGGTGTCCCTAGACGAGAAATGGAACCAGTCACACATATATCCTGTAGTTGGAATATAATTCAAATTTAATCCACCTGTATGTGTAAAGGACGTCACACTGCTTGCTTAGCGAGTACCACCTCCTTCCATTTTGGCCCATTCCTGGCGCGAACTCGGGACCTCTGCCTCACAAACACACGTGACCGTCCTCCCTCAAGCGTCTTAGCCTATCGTGCCACCTCAAAAGCAAGCTAATGAGTCGATGCAAGCTGTACACTTCAGGCTGAGGAGTAGTTCCACTTCCCCATGTGCTACACATATATGAAAGTGATGTTAGGATGCTAGGATGATCTAGTCATTGCGATCAAATCTCATGAATGAGAGAAACCTAGTCCAAGAGGACAGCAGGGTTAGTATTACAGATACCGGTAATCACAAACATGAACACACATTTACATTATACAGTACCAGTCAAAAGTTTGGACACACTTACTCATTCCAGGGTTTTTCTTTATTTTTACTATTTTCTACATTGTAGAATAATAGTGAAGACATAAACAACTATGAAATAACACATATGGAATCATGTAGTAACCAAAAAAAGTGTTAAACAAATCAAAATATATTTTAGATTTGAGATTCTTCAAATAGCCACCCTTTGCCTTGATGACAGCTTTGCACACTCTTGGCATTCTCTCAACCAGCTTCATGAGGTAGTCACCTGGAATGCATTTCAATTAACAGGTGTGCCTTCTTAAAAGTTAATTTGTGGAATTTCTTTCCTTCTTAATGCGTTTGAGCTAATCAGTTGTGTTGTGACAAGGTAGGGGTGGTATATAGAAGATAGCCCTATTTGGTAAAATACCAAGTCCATATTATGGCAAGAACAGCTCAAATAAGCAAAGAGAAAACAACAGTCCATCATTATTTTAAGACATGAAGGTCAGTCAATACAGAACATTTCAAGAACTTTTAAAAGTTTCTTCAAGTGCAGTCGCAAAAAACATCAAGCACTATGATGAAACTGGCTCTCATGAGGACCGCCATAGGAAAGGAAGACCCAGAGTTATCTCTGCTGCAGAGGATAAGTTCATTAGAGTTACCAGCCTCAGAAATTGCAGCCAAAATAAATGCTTCACAGAGTTCAAGTAACAGACACATCTCAACATCAACTGTTCAGAGGAGACTGCGTGAATCAGGCCTTCATGGTCAAATTGTTGCAAAGAAACCACACCAATAAGAAGAAGAGACTTGCTTGGGCCAAGAAACACGAGCAATGGACATTAGACTGGTGGAAATCTGTCCTATGGTTTGATGAGTCCAAATATGAGATTTTTGGTTCCAACCGGCGTGTCTTTGTGAGACGCAGAGTAGGTGAACGGATGATCTCCGCATGTGTGGTTCCCACCGTGAAGCATGGAGGAGGTGGTGTGATGGTGTGGGGGTGCTTTGCTGGTGACACTGTCGGTGATCTATTTAGAATTCAAGGCACACTTAACCAGCATCGCTACCACAGCATTCTGCAGCGATACGCCATCCCACCTGGTTTGCGCTTTGTGGGACGATCATTTGTTTTCAAACAGGACAATGACCCAAAACACACCTCCAGGCTGTGTAAGGGCTATTTGACCAAGAAGGAGAGTGATGGAGTGCTGCATCAGATGACCTGGCCTCCACAATCACCCAACCACAACCCAATTGAGATGGTTTGGGATGAGTTGGACCGCGGAGTGGAGGAAAAGCAGCCAACAAGTGCTCAGCATATGTGGGAATCATTCCTCATGAAGCTGGTTGAGAGAATGCCAAGAGTGTGCAAAGCTGTCATCAAAGCAAAGGGTGGCTACTTTGAAGAATCTAAAATATATTGTGATTTGTTTGGTTACTACATGATTCCATGTGTGTTATTTATAGTTTTGATGACTTCATTATTAATCTACAATGTAGAAAATAGTAAAAATAAAGAAAAACCCTTGAATGAGTTCTCGCCTTCATATTTCAACTGCAGCTCCACAGACTGGCCACACAGTGGCAGTGCAGAGGTGGCCATGTCTTAATAACTACAAAACATAGCCTACTCTAAAAGCCATTCAGTGCCACCATTTAAAAGGCCTTTTACTGAAGTAACTGGATTCTGTATAGGTAGAAATGATATGTATGGGTATGAGTTTTAGCATAAGAGAAACATATGTGAGATATAAATCAAGCATTAAACGTAAGCATGATTTCAAGTATTCCAATTGAGAGATTCAGATAATGGAGATCTGAGGACTAGGAGATGTAGGAGAGTTATACATAGGATGAATGGAGCAAAATGATGAGTTAGAATGAAGGAGTTTCTTTACCTTTGCACCCCGAGGGCCAGGGATACTAGAGCTACGTCCCTCTTGACCCTACAGAAAAGGTCAACAGTTACAGCACAGCTGAGCCACCTTCCATTGACCTCAAATAGCCCAATGTCATAATGTTAGCACACACACACAGTAACATATTACCTTTAATCCTGGGGCCCCGGGTAGGCCTAGCAACCCCTTGATAAAGAGAGTAACAATAAGGCACAACAAGACATAACTACACACAGTATGTTACAACAAATAAGTATTATGTATTGCACCTCAATGTGATACAACCCAATGGTATATCTGTGAAAAACCTAATAAAGAACATGTTGCTACATTTATATAGCGTAAGGTATGTGTAGCATAGCCAAGCTCAGTCCATGCAAAACAATTAACTCACCTCAACCCCACGAGGTCCATCTTCCCCTGGTGTTCCCGGTGGCCCAGAGATACCCTGTAAGACACCACAGAGAGATGGGTTAATGCCTATCGCTGATAAAAAAAAGAAGTGACATGCCCAGTCCCAAATGCCCCCAGCCCATAATGCACTAATGGATGGCAGAGGATTTGATAAGTGTAAGCATGGCAAACATTTCATCTAGCCTATCAGTAGGGAATCCATATCGCTAATGTAAAGGACGTCACACTGCTTGCTTGGCGAATAAAACTTCTCCTTGATCCAGCTCAAGTGCAGGAAGTAGGGGTCCATTTTGGATGGAGGAAAAGGATGAGAACATACAGAAGAAGGAGACATAGAGGAGAGGAGATGGAGGGTAAAAGAGAAGCAGCGTATGGAACTGGAGTTTGAGGAGGGACAGAGAGAAGGAGAACAATGAGTGATGCTATATTATGGGATGCTGCTGGCTACCTGGTCACCGTCCCTTCCTCTGGGTCCAGGCCGTCCTATTCCAATTGTTTGGGATTCACCCTGCACAGAACATTTTAATTCTGCTGATTATTTTAATGATGATGATGATGGATGATGATGGATGATGATGAAGGTATGAGCAGGAGAAGGAGGAAGAGGTGGGGAGATTACCTTTGGTCCAGATGCTCCAGGTGGACCCTGTAAAATAAAATAAATATGAACGTTACAGTAAAAACTGGACTTTGACAGACAGTAGTGAAACACACAAGTAAAGATGTGTATGTATCCAGCTTACTCTTAATCCAGCACTGCCATTGGGACCAGGTGGACCAATGGGTCCCCTCTCCCCCTGTAAAGACACATTGTTAGCACCAGTTAGAATGACTGTTAGCCTGACGACTCACACTAAATTATTCCGCTGCGCTGTTGTTCGCTACATATTTTAGTCTGAGACTGCCATCATTGAAGTCGTTTGTGGTGACGAGGGGCATGGTACAAAACAAAGTCATCAGCGATTGGATGGTCTCTGACCAATCACAGTATCAAAGCTAATGATGAAGGGCCAGGGCAATACTCAGATCCAGACTCATTGTGGAGAATAAAATAACGTCCTAGCGTTTGACTGGAGCAAGGAGTCTGGGTAGCCATGCAAAATGACTGTGGCTCTGCATCCCAAATGCCACACTATTCCCTATTTAGTGCACTACTTCTGCCAAGGACTCAGGGCTCCGTAGTGCACTATATAGGTGATACTATATGATATCACTACTTGTGATACTATATGATGATAAAAAGTAGTGATACACACTACTAATACTGCTGTCTACAGTAGTTATAGTGTGTGACTATAATCGTGAATCTGTCCACATCTGCATAGAAAGACTGCATACATATCTAGCTTGGTGTGCTACCTTTTGTCAGAGAGGTTCACATAGAGAGAATATGGTGACAATCGCCACTGTTACCGCACCTCTGTTCCATTGCATCCTGGGACACCTTGTTGGCCCATTGGTCCTTGAAGGCCTGGGATGCCCTAGAGTAACAGTTAGGCAAATATTACACTGATGAACACACGCACACACACACACACACACACACACACTTACTTACCGGTAGACCTGGTGTCCCAGCAAATCCTTCTTTACCCTCAGGTCCCTGAAGAAATAAAAAGGATTGTAGTCTTAAGAACTGCAGGATTAAACAAAATAAATAAATAAATAAATAAATAGAAAAACACATGCACGCACACACATTACACAGCACACATTACACAGCACACAAACTCAGACATTGTATTGTGGAAAGTTACTCGATTGCCATATTGTCCTGGAGGTCCATGAGGGCCCACATCCCCCTGGGAAAGACAATCAATGATTCAGTTATGCTTCTTTTCGCAGGTATTGAATGTGCAACCTTAGCAGTGTACTAGCCTTGAGAACCTAACTGTATCAAAATCTTGGACAATTGAGTAATGTGTTGACTTAGTTTCAATTGCTAACTGTGCTAATCAAAGATCAGGTCCCCTCTGTCCATATAATCGTTTATAAAAGGCCAAACTAATCCTAGATCAGCACTCATTTTAGACGCTTTATGAATACGGGCCCTGTATAATACCCTGTTAAAGGCAATTTATATCTTGAGCATGGTGCAGGTAAGGAAAGTACCTTTAGTCCCACTGATCCCCGCTGACCCTCTGAACCTGGATAGCCAACCAACCCAGGTGGACCATTCTCTCCTGCGTAACCCTTTTCTCCCTGTGTGTGTGAGGGAAAGAGAGCGAGAGAGACGGAGATAAAAACAGAAACAGAAATAGACAGAAGGCAGGGAGAGAAAATAGAATAACTGTCAAGCATGTTGTGTAGAATATTTAACAGTGTGATGAGAAAAAGGATGGCAACAGTTCCTCCCAAGGCCTTGGCTGGTGGTCTGCTTACCTTATTGCCTTGGACTCCTTCACAGTGACACCTCGACTTCCCAGTACACACACACTAGAACAGAAAACAGCACACACTCATTATAGCTGGCGTTTTTTTTTTTTGGGGGGGGGGGGGGGGGGGGGGGCAGCACAGAAACACTGTCCTCGATTTATTGTACATGTAAAACGTTTGTGTAGCCTACAATGTCAAGTTAAGATTCGGTTGGTATGTTTCTCTCAAGTTGAAGTAAAATAGCCTAGGGGCCTTGTAGTGGTCATAGGGGCGGGAAATCAGCAGAAGTAAGGCAGGTTGAAGTGCTCAGTGTGTAGATTTACAGTTCTTGGTGATTCAACGGTGAAACATAATACAATAACATATATCAAATAGGCATAGTACACTAACAATACACTGGCAACCGCTAAAAGAAAAAGCTTCTGAATCAGGCAATTTCCATATATACTGAACAACAATATAAATGCAACATGTAAAGTGTTGGTCCCATGTTTCATGAGCTGAAATAAAAGACCCCAGAAATGTTCCATATGCACAAAAATATTATTTCTCTCAAATTGTGCACAAATTTGTTTACATCCCTGTTAGTGACCATTTCTCCTTTGCCAAGATAATCCATCAAACTGACAGGTGTGGCATATAAAGACGCTGATTAAACAGCGTGATCATTACACAGGTGCACCTTGTGCTGGGGACAATAAAAGGCCACTAAAATGTGCAGTTTTGTCACACAACACAATGCCACAGATGTCTCAAGTTTTGAGGGCGCGTGCAATTGGCATGCTGACTGCAGAAATGTCCACCAGCGCGGTTGCCAGAGAACTGAATGTTCATTTCACTACCATAAGCCTCCTCCAACGTCATTTTAGAGAATTTGGCAGTAAGTCCAAACGGCCTCACAACCGCAGACCACATGTAACCACGCCAGCCCAGGACCTCCACATCCGGCTTCTTCACCTGCCCAGGCGACAGAACAGAGAAACCAGACGCATGAACACATGGAGTGCTCATTTAAAAATGGCAGAAAACTCTTAAATGGAATCCAATAAACCAAAACTTTTATTTCTCACAAATGTAGTTGTTTGTTAGCTCTTCAAATTATCTGTGAGAATGAGAACAGTAAATTAATGTGATATGTATTCTCAGTGAATTTGGTGATGTTTCCCCCCCCCCCGTTCAGAGAAATTAGTAATTAAAGTTGAGTTGAGTTTATGTCCCATCTTACATCCTGATATTACCAGATTCTGACCCCCCCCCCCCCCCCCTGTTAAAGGGATAGTTCACCTAAAATACATTTGGGTTGCTGCCATACCTGGTCGATAGACTGCTTACAGGGTAAGAAAACCAAAAGGGGGGGGGGGGGGGGGGATGTGACAGCCATTCAGACCCACAACTCTGCTGTTGCTAGTGCCATGCTCTTATCAACTGTGTGCTCCTCTGTAGCTCAGCTGGTAGAGCACGGCGCTTGTAACGCCAAGGTAGTGGGTTCGATCCCCGGGACCACCCATACACAAAAATGTATGCACGCATGACTGTAAGTCGCTTTGGATAAAAGCGTCTGCTAAATGGCATATTATGTATTATTATTTAACTGAGCCACATACAGGACCACTACAATACATAAGTACAATAAAATACAATACACGATTACAATCCAGGTGGAAGATGTATGATTGCCATCCCCATGAGTGTACCACCCTCCTTTAGGCCATGGATGAGGCATGCAATGATTTCAATTCAGACCTACTGTATGTCAGGCTTGGATTCGCCATGCCAAAAGGTTTTTCCCCTGGTGGATTAACAGTGAGGATATTTACAGCGATTTTGAATGAGAACCTATTGCCAAATGCTCAAGACAGGCTTGATGCAAACTAGTGCCCGCTAAACATTGCTTCTTCCATTTGATTACATTGTGAAAGATGTCTTCAATGATCACACATGGGATAGAAATTATGGAAATGTAATGTTCAGTACATTTTATGGATAGTGCAAGTGTATAGCCTAATGTGAAAACAGTGTAATATACTTTAATTTACAGTACTTTAGCATACTACATTCAAAGGGCAATTTTGAAACATGTTCTTAATTTTTTTGCTATTGGATTAATTGGTTGTTTGAAGAACTGAATTGAGAAGATATCATTAAGTGGTGTTTTGGTGATTAAACCAATGTACTCATTTCACAGTAAACTTACTTTGGATCTATGGTTGCGTGGTGAGAGATGTCCACAAACAAAATTAATGCACAATGAAAAGGTTTTGAACGTAAGACCGGCTGCGTTACAAGTGTTACCAGCTTCGAGTTTTGTACTAACAGCTTTGAAAATGTACCACATACTTGTGAAAATAGTATTAAAAGCGTTAAAAAAATTAAGCCTATTT